GGCGATCCTTCCGCCTCAGCCTTCCAAGTAGCTAGAACTACAGGCATGTGCTACCACGCCTGGCTCATTTTTTGATTTATGTAAAGATGAGGTCTCGCCAAGTTGTCCAGGTGGGTCTCAAACCCGCGGGCTCAGACAATCCACTCATCTCAGCCTCCCAAAGGCACGGGATTACAGGCTGAGACACTGAGCCTGGCTGAAGTATACTATTAAAGTTAACTTTACCTGTTTCTTTTTACTTTTAAAAATATGACTACTATAGAACATTATAAATTGTCCATAGGACTTGCATTGTATTTCTGTCAGCAGAACCATGCTATAAAAGGAACCATCAGAGGCTGTTGGACACAGGAAGGGAACTGACAAGAAGTGATGCTTGAATCCAGAAATGTAACTGGGGGAAGCAGGGCAGAGGTCGCCTCCCTGAATACATTTTCAGAGTGGTACCTTGTCAACAGGTTCTGTTAAGGCAACAAATGGACATGGCAGTTGTTCATGATGACTTTTTTTTTAATTTTTAAAAAGAGGAAGCAGGGTGAAAGTGGCTGTGGGATAGAGAAGGTGCCATTGCGTGGTGCTTTTCCTCTTCTTTAACCATTCACCAGTGGGCCAGACCCCTAGCCTCTGCCCCTCCCCCTGTTCCTGGCCAACCATCCCTGGTCCTCACCCCCACACACACTGCCACGCTTCTTCCCACTGATGTTCAATCCCGACTGTAGCAGTCTGAGTCTTCTCTGCAGCGTCACTGACAAGTGGGTGGTTTCCATCTTTGTGAATGCCTCCAATGATGGGGGACTCAGTACCTTCCTTATGAGAAACCTATCTCATTCACTCGATATTGTTGCCAAAACAACCCTTCCCATCCTTTCCGCCACAACAGTGCTGAAAGAGGGCTAGAGTTTCTGGATCTTTGACTTCAGGCAACTGAAGGGGTATCTCACTGCTTCTTAAGGAGAACAAGGAGAGAGTGGCACAGCTCCCTGCAGGTACAGCCTGGACAGAACCTTTCCAAATATCAGTAAATTTGTGAAATAAGATGGAGCACTTTGCAGGAGTGGTCATTCCCAGGAGGCCTCCAGCTCGGGGCCACGGCCAGGCTACCGACCAGAAGGAGCTCGAAGCAAGCAGATCCATTTCAAAGTCCTTCTCTCTTTCTTTTCCCTCGTCTTCTCTTTTTCTTCCTTCATCTGCTCTTCTCTATCTTTCTTTTCTCTTTTCTCTTGTGCTTTCCTTTCTTAGTGAACGATTAACTTTCCTGAGACACAGTCCGGCCTTCACAGCACCCCCCACCCCAGTCACGCCGAATGTGGGGACAGAGGAGACACTGCTCCTTCCCCCTTTCCCACCTACCACACGGTAAGCCGAGGACAGTTTAGACCTGATGCAATGGTCAGTTTGGCCCTGTCCTAGAATTGTGTGACAGTCACATGCGGAGACCCGCTGGTGTACATAATTTAAACAGTACACTCGCTCACGGCATCTCATTGTCCCTAGGCCTCTTTCACACGCTTTGGCCACGGTCCCCCAGCTTGAAAGTGGCAAAACCAGACTGGGCGCAGTGGCTCAGTCTGTCACCCCAGTACTTTGGGAGGCAGAGGTGAGAGGATTGCCTGAGCCCAGGGGTTCGAGACCAGCCTGGGCAACTTGGTGAGACCTCGTCTCTACCATAAATCACAAAAATTAGCCAGGTATGGTGGCATGTGACTGTAGTTCCAGCTACTTGGAAGACTGAGGCGGAAGGATCGCCTGAGGCCAGCAGGTCGAGGCTTCAGTGGTTGTGAGCGTGTCACTGCACTCCAGCCTGGGCTACAGAGTGAGACTCTAAATCGAAAAAATAAAAAGAAAGTGGCAAAACCAGGACTTGAACCTTAGTCTTGAGCAGGTAGTGTGTCTCCTGCCATATTTTCTGGGTGAAGAGACATTTGGTGTTTTTTGACTAAACTAGAAGCCAAATCCAATAATCTAAGTACTTTTAGCAACCCAAATAGAGTAAGACCAGTTGCTTTGTCAGGCCTCATCAACTGTCATTTAGGAAACTGACCTGTCTTTTGGTGTTAGGGCCAAATGTTCCCATCTTTCGGGATATTTTGGAACCTGACTTATCTCACTTCCCAGCAGCAGGCACTGCAGAAGGCAGACTTCCTCAGCAAGAACCTTGAATCCTTCAGAGACTTGGGACAAACGCTGAGTGGATACGTGGTTCTGGGCCATAAACATAGCATGTGTCATTTTTATTTTGTATTTTAGATTATTTTTTTTGAAAGCAGGATTTATTGAGAGGGCAGAACTGGAGGGGACCCAAGAGGGTTGCCCTGCACGTGTCATTTTGACCTGAAAAAGGCAAAGCTAGTTGTTAGTGTTTTGCTGGTTTATCCTTTAAAGTCCTTTAAAGAGAAAAAATAAAATAAAACCTGAACAGGGCCCGTGTCTGATCTTAATGAGGTCTTAAGTCAGTGGCACTCAGAGTGTGGTCTGCAGACCAGCAGCACCAGGAACTTGCTAGAAATGCAGATTCTCCATCCCCAGACCATGTGAGTTAGAACCTTCTAGAGTCATACCCAGCAATCTTGTTTTAACAAGGCCTCCAGATCATTGAGATGCTGAGTTTGAGAATCACCAATTCCCATATCTGCCACTCACATGGGCAGTCGTGTGATTAGAAGCTTGGAATCTCCGCATGGGTGTGTCCTGTAAGTATCAGAACAAGACATATATTCTTAATCAGTGTTTGCGACTGGGTCAGTTGTGCTTAGCACTTGCTTGGTTCTCCTGCCAAATACCCTGAAGTTTGTCGGAGAAGAAAGGCTTGATAATGCCGAGAAAAATAAGAGTCCGGTCAGCAGTGGCAGATGAGAAGCCACTGCCGAGAGTGGCCTTGCTAGACAGCAAGCCAGCATCAGGCCCACCCTGCCCTGGCATGGAAGCCTTAACCATCCTCTGCCCTGTTCCCAGCAGGCACCTTTACTGTTCCAACACGTAACACCAATCCTGCCCCTACAGAGAAGAGAAGCCACACTGAGCGGAATGTGTAGCTCTTCTGGTCCTCTGGATTTAATGCAGTGAGGAGGGAACCAGAGCGCTTCGGGGGTGATGGCAGGGCCTGAGAAGGGCGCTGTGCCAGGTGTCAATTTCGTGTTCCCCCCGGTGCCAGTCATTGGCTAGTGGGATCACATTCATACACTGGGTGATCGAGAAACCTGCCAGTTTTCAAGGCTTCACAGTGCCACGCCCAGGGAACAGCGATGACAGAGGCACCTTCTTCCTGTGTCTCAAAAGAGGCGTTTGGTCCGAGTGCCTGGATTCGGAGCAGCTCCCGCCTGGTCTAGCTGAAGCCTGACTCCCCAGGTGCCTTCACGCATGAGGCTTCACATATTGGGACAGTCACAAGTCTGAGTCCCGTGACTCGAGGAGGCAGCTGGGAGACTTCCCTGCTGTAGAGCCTTCGCACATAGACGTGCGATCCAGCGGTGAGCTATGTCCAGAGCAGAGATGCCCACCAGAGCAGAGATGCCCACGCTCTCATGCCTCACCTCCAGCTCCTGACGGCAAGACCAGGGGCAGGAGAGAGTCCCTGCCAGAGTCCCGCCTCGTTCTGCCAAGGCGCCATGACCCTTTGGGAAGAGGACTCTTGGCATTGTATCGCTGTGTGCCTTAAGCTGCTCCGTGGGCAAGCACCCTGCCCCCTGAAGATGGCCTTCATCCCTCAGCTCTCAGGAGAAGGAAGTATGGCTTCTCGAGGTGTTGATAAATACGCGCTGTGGAGGAGACAAGCCAAGGGCCCACTCGGTGTTCCTCGGCCGCGGGGCTGGTGCGGTGAGCAGAGGGCCCCTGTTGCTGGTGGTCCGGGCCTCGGAGGCCAAGGGATCCGAGACCCCACGGGGCTGCTCCCTTGCCCCGGCAGGCTGGCCCCAGCCAGGGAGGACCTTGCTCGCCCCCAGCCTCTGCCTGCTTCCTTCCAGATCACCCGGCAGCAGTATCAGAACGCCCTCACCGCCTGCCACATGGACAGCTCGCCTCAGTCCCCCGACATGGAGGCCTTCACCGACGGAGACTCCACCAAGGCCCCCACCACCCGGGGCACACCCCAGACGCCCAAGGATGACCCTGCCATCACGCTTCTGAACCACAGGAACAGCCTGCCGTGTAAGTCAGCTGGGGAGACGGGGTGGGCGGGGCCCCACGGAGGCCCGGGTCGTCTGGGAGCCAAGGGGTGAGGCCCTCACTGTTCTCCCCAGGCAGCCGCGCGGACGGGCTGAGAAGCCCCGGCGAGGTCGTGTACCTGAGGATGGAGGAGCTGGCCTTCCCCCCGGAGGAGATGGCTGACTTCCAGGGGCACAGCCCACACCTGCTCACGACGTCCCCCGCAGCCGTGCCCACGGGAGCAGGTCAGGCCGGCGCCCGGGCCCAGCGGAGCAAGCAGGACAGCTGCCCTTGGGGCCCGGGGTGGCCCTGGGGGAGCTGGGGGAGGGGATTCGGGGACCCCAGGATCTGGGAAACCTCTCACCTCCTCACATAGCCGGGGAGGGAAAGTGGAGCCCCCACCCCAGGTCAGGCCCTCTTCGTTCATTCACTCCCGGCTTGGCCTGGAGGCAGACTCTGGCCCCTTCATTCAGGAGCTCTGCAACTTTAGGCAAGTTGTCTACCCTCAGACTCAGTTTCTTTATCTTTATTTATTTTGGATCGAGTCTCACTCTGTCACCCAGACTGGAGTGCAGTGGCACACTTGTCGTCACTGCAGCCTCGATCTGCTGGGCTCCGGCGATCCTTCTGGCTCAGCCTTCCAAGTAGCCAGAACCACAGGTGCGCGCGACCATACCCGGGTAGTTTTTGATGTATTGTAGAGACGAGGTCTTGCTAAGTTGCCCGGGTAGGTCTCGAACCCGCGGGCTCAGGCAATCCACTCGCCTCGGCCTCCCAAGGTGCTGGGATGACAGGCTGAGCCATCCAGCTCAGCCTATCTTTATTTTTTAAATATCTCTCCAAATGTGACAACCAGAGTTTCTTCTTTTGTTGTTTTTTGAGTTGAAGTCTCTGTTGCCCAGGCTGGAGTACAGTGGCATACTCATGGCCACGGCAGCCTCAACCTGCTGGGCTCAGGCGATCCTTCCACCTCAGCCTTCCAAGTAGCTGGAACTACAGATGCACGCCACCACACCCGGCTAGTTTTTGTGATTTATTGTGGAGACGAGGTCTTACCAAGTTGCCCTGGCTGATCTATGAACCCCTGGGCTCAGGCAGTCCTCTCCCAAAGTGCTGGCAACCAGAGTTTCTTTATCTAAATAGATGCCTCTTTAGGTTAATAGATATAAATCATGGCAGCCATCTCCTAAAGTAGCTTTGCATATAAATAAGATAGCATATGTAAAGGTCACATCACAGAGGGTCCAGGACCATGATCTGTCAATATTAGGCAGGTATTGTTAGACCTGCCTTACAGACTAGGAAACTGAAGTTGGCCATCACCCTCACCAGCAAGGCTTCTCCCTCGGGGACCCCGAATCAGCTCATCTGTGGGCTTTTCCTGAGCTCTCAGATCCTACCACCTTCCTCTGAAACATCGAACGCTTCCGTCCCAACAGTGGTGTTGCTCCAAGCTCCCAGGGTCCCTGCAGCCCTGAGACCCTCTGTCTTTGCCTCACTAGGGTATACTTTCCCCAAGCTTCCAGCAACCCCCAGCTCACCCCTAGGCCAACAGTTCCCATACCTGGCCTTTCAGAGCTACCCCAGTCCATCTTAGGGGACCCCCAAGTCCAGGGTAGAAATCCTCATAGATTTTTGAGGTTAATGAGACAATATATTTGAACCTGTGGCTGACCCAGAAAATCTGGGACACACATGGTCACTGATCCCAGCCCTGAATTTAGAACTGATATTCTTTTGCTCTCTCCACACACCAAATATAGTAGCTAAAGCATATAGCAAAAAAAAAAAAAAAAAAAAAAAAAATAGCAAAGGAATAAGAATGGAGGCCACAGAGTAGAGATCAGTCCCTTCTCATGTGAAACGTGAGGTCCCTTGAGGTCTAGAGAAAGGAAGTGACACGCTCAAGTCCAAATACAGCATTAGAAGCAGGCCCAACCTTGTGGCATTTGGGGCAGTGCAGTTCCCGGCACCACTTTTTGCCTTCTGATGAGGTTCCTATTACGTGGCCAGTAGAGTGTGGCCCCTTCCGGGCACTCAGATTCCATGGCTCTCTGAATTCTCACTGGGTCCTGTGGGAGAAGACGGGGCTATGTGCTTAAGTGTGACTGAGCCCCGTGACTCTCAGACATCCCCAACTATCCTCACGTTTTTTGTTTTACGTCTGGAAAAGATACTGGGTAGAGAATATATCGTTCTCTTCCCCTCTCTCTTGCCAGACAGAGAGGAGAGGGAATTATTTCTGACTCAGCATGGATTGTTGGGCTCCCGCTCCTGTGTTCCATCTCTCCGTCACCTTTTTTTGAGTTGGGTGTCTCACTGTGTCGCCCAGGCTGGAGTGCAGTGGCATGATCACAGCTCGCCACTACCTCAGTCTTCAGGACTCAGCGATGGCAGGCACACGCCACCATGCCTGGCTGATATACTATTTATTTTCTTTTATTTTTTGTAGAGACAGGGTCTCTCAATGTTGCCCAGGCTGGTCTCAAACTCCTGGGCTCAAGCAGTCCTCCTGCCTCAGCCTTCCAAAGTCTTATGATTATAGGCATGAGCCACCACGCCCAGCCACTTTGTCCCTTGCAGCTCCAAATGCCTCGTGCTGATTAGAACGAACACCTTCCTGGGCGCTCCCCTCATGTTGCACCCATGCCTGCCTTGGCTCTTGTCTTGAACTTTTGCCTTTCAGGGTGAGCGACATCACGGAGACTCACCCTGCTTTGGTCCCTGAGTGTAAAGGTTGAAAACACTTGAGTTCTCTTGCTCTTTTTCCCTTCTCCCAGCCTCAGAGAGTGAATGTTGCAATATCCGCCTAGATACTGAGACCAGCCCTTGCAGTAGCGACTTTGAGGAAAACGTGGGCAAGAAGCTTTTGAGAACCTTGAGTGAGTAGCTCGCCTTCACTCAGACGAAAGCACTGCAGACAGGTGGTAGGGAGCGTGTGTCCGGCTCTTCCTCCTGGGGGGAACCACTGACTGCTTTGGGACCCGCGATGTGGTACGGCTATGGAAATCTACACCAGGGCTTGGACTAGCACCGCACCCTTGATAGTTTGGGAATCTGTCCCATTCAGTTGCTGATCCTCTAGGCCAGGAGTCTGCAAACCATACTCATGGGTCCATTCTCACCTCTCTTGTCAGCGATTTTTGTAAATGAAGACTTATTGGATCGTAGACAGATCCATTTGTTATCTGTGGCCCCACTAGCAGAGTTGAGTTGTTGTGACCGAAGCCATATGGCCACAAGACCTGAAACATTTACTCTCTAGTCCTTTGACGAAAGAATTTGTGTCCAGGAGACATAATAGAAGTGTCCTCCGCTGATGGAAGTCAGTGGCCAGGGAGAACAAGGTGAAAATACTTCTTCCTACAAACAACAGACCTGGGAACAGGTTGCTCTTCTGTCCTTGAGGGCGAGTGTGCAGTTATCTCCACCTGGCCGAGTGTGGGGGGAGGTTGCTTAGGAGCTGAAGAGTGTAGGTCCCTGAAAGTGGCTCCCAGCTACGGCCACCAACCCCGGCTCACGGATATCAAAGACAGTGAGACCAGGCCTCTCTCGGGGTGTCTGGCAGTCAGTGGGTGGGAATCTGGGGGGAGGGTGTGACCACGGGGCTTCACGCGGGCTTGACTCAATTCATCCCAGGCCACTAGCCTGGGTTTGTGGCTTCTCAGAGATGTCATCTTACGTGGAAAGTGGTCTGATTCTTCACCACGCAGATATGCCACATGAGCACTAGGATGCAGTGCAGAGGAGTTCCAGCCAGGCTGTCAAGGGACTTTGTGTCTACTTCTGTTTGGAAGAAAGCTCAGATCAGCCTTTCAGGCCGATACTCACAAACTGTGTTTTTCAGGTGGTCGGAAAAGGAAGAGGTCGCCAGATGGAGACAGAACCTCTGAGGAAAACTCCAATTTAATGCCTCTGATCACATGACGGGGCGAAGCCAGGGTTCGCTGGGTGTGTGAGATTCCAGAGACTTGGGGGAGAACCCGCCCTCCCATCATCTGCTGCCCCCCAAGGCCTTCCACAGGTGAAAGAACGTTCTGCCGTCCTTCCCGCCTCTTCACCCCCAGCTGTCGTGTCGGCAGCTTTTCCCTCGTTGCCGCCAGTTTGACTCAGAGCCTTGCCATGGCCGTAACGGAACATGCTAGACATCGTTTTGCCCACAGCACAGTCTGGACCTGGAGAAGAGGTGGCTCCAAGCTAACAACACCACTCTGAGACCCCCGATGTTCTTCTCTGCCCTTTGGGATCCTCTAATGCTGCAGGAGACCCCTGTCTCAGAACGCACCGTTCTTTCCTCCAGAACAAAATGTCAACTTTCAGCCAGGTTTCGTGCTTAGCTTAGCCCAGAAGACACCACTGGCAGACAGCCCCAGGGGCAGCCGGAGCAGCAGGTATGAGGATGAACTAGTTCAGGGGAGGGACCAAGAATTCCTGTGGAGCCTTAAAGCAGTGGGATGCAGCCGTGTGGGCGTGTGATGGGTGTTACAGCACAGAAGGCTGTGAGTGACGGGTCTCCTGTGAGACGAGGGTTCCAGCAGCCTGGAGAAGCATTTCTCAGCTGGAATGGAAAGAATGCAGCATGGAACCTCACGTCACTGTTTTTCCCAGGGACACATCTGTTTTCGCTCCCAACCAGCCGTCATCTGTCGATCTGAAAAAGGAGGAACAGGAGGCAGAGAGACCCAGCTGGGAGCCAGAGATGGAAATTCGGGTTTTAAGTGCAAAGCAAAAATATATATATATATATATATATCTCTAAGTGTTAAGAGCAAGTTTAGCCATGACAAACCAAAGAGTGCCCAGGTCAGTTAGGAGAGAGGCATGCTTGCGTGGGACTTCAGGAATGTGGAAGAATCGTCTTCTTTTTCATGCATTCGCCCCTCCCCAACCCCTTTACTACACCCCAGCAGATCAGCTGAATATACTTTATTCCAGGAATTTACTAGAATTAATCTCTAGTGAAATCTGGGTCTTCTCCTGGATGTTGGAGCGGGTGCAATTCCAAGCCTGACCACCAGGTGGTAGAACAACTGTGCAGACCTGCTTCCAAGCAGAAACTAGTTCTGATGGGAACCACAGCCAGCCTTAGGGAACATTGGGCAGTAAGTGAAGTGGGTCTTTGGGGGGCACCCGTCTCCCTGTCTGATCTGTCTCCCACCCCTTGGATGCCCCCGTCGGGTACCCGGTGTCCGAGTGCCGTCTGCTGACGCTCCAGCCCGTCCGCCAGCTTTTTCCTGTGGTTTACCAATCCGGCTACCCCTCCCCTTCCCCCACAACCTTCACTCCCCCCTCCCCCACCCATCCAGTCAGTCCTTACGGGAAGCGGGGAGACTAATTATTCCTCTGGGTTATTTGCATCTCAAGAGAAAATGCGTACCCACGGGAACCTTTAACTCAGGGGTTCTTAACCTGGGGGCCGTCACCCCAGGGGGACCATAGTTGGACCTGCAGGGTCTATGAAGCCCTAAAATGGTCAGAATGTCATGTCTGTATTCTTGTGTGTGTTTTCCAGAGCGTGAAAGCTTTCATAAGATTCCCAAAGGTCTCAGATTGACAAAGGGTTTTTTTTAAAAAACAGTGTTGTAAATAATGGCACTTTCAGCCCCAAATTGCTGCAGTGCGGAGTGCAGTGAATCCTGGGCCCCTGGAGGCAGATTTTTGTCTTATTATTTGGGAATATAGTTTATTAAAAAAGTAAATTAGAGAGAGAGAGAGGAGATTCACCTCCCCAGGGTAGGGAAGGGAGCCAAAGCCAGGAAACATGGCAACAGCCATAGCTCAAAGAGCACATGGCCACGCCAGAGTCTCGTAAGGCAGTGGTGGTGGCCCGACAGTGGCGGTGATGGGCTGGCAATGGCGAAATGGCTGCTCATGGTTGAGTCCTTTCAACCTTTCCCTTAGAGGGGGGAAGGCCATTACACTGATTGGGTGGTGGTCTGCTCCAAGTCATCCCAAAGGGGCGGGTAAGCACAGGTACTGACAGCAGGCAGATGGGGGGGCTGGTCATGTGACTGCTGCCATGGTCGGTGATGAGTGGGCTAGATAGGAGGAGACCGGGGAGAGGGGTTTTCCTGCAAGAGACTTGACAGACGACCGAGGCAGATTCTTAACACTAAGTGGTCTTCTCGAGTGTCCGTCGATTGATGGATAAGGCTGGCGCCCACCGGGAAGCAGGAGTCCTCAAAAATTCTTGGCACACCCTCGAGTATCGTGCAGCCCACACGATGTTGTCCCCTCCTCCCCAACAGCCAAGAGCGGGTGTTGCAGACAGGAGGCCGCAGCGTGTGGGAACACAGGCTCTGGAGCGAGAGAGGCCTTTTCCAGCAACGCATCCCGGCCTGGCGTGAGGCTCAGCAGTGCATGACTCCTTGTAGACAACCTCACAGCCACCCGTCCAACACCTGCTCCTGCCTGGTAGGCGTAGGCAGATGGCAGCCTCGGGGTTGGGCACCGCGGTGACCTCTGAGCAAGGGTTGCCATCGCGGCAGCTTCGTGCCCAGCTGGCCACCGGCCCGGGGCCTCCCCGGCCGGTCTTCCTCTCATCACCCCTTGGGCCACCAGGCTCAGGCACTGCTGCTGCATAACTGTCCCTTTGCAAAATTCCCAAGGAGCCTGTCACCACTCCCCTCCTTATATCCCGCCACCCCGTCCCCAAAGATTTTCTTCAGGTTAAAGAAAAAAGGTTTAAAATAAGAGATTTTAAAACAAAGCATTTATGAAGGCTCAATACATTGTAAATAATTTTTAAATAAAATGAAAATGCCTTTCCTGGAATGTGGCTGTTTTCTTTGCCCCCGAAATCTCAGAGTTCCCAAGTGGCTTCATTTGAGATGATCTCACCTGTGGCCCACCTGTCTGAAGGGGCACACTTCTCAAGGCCGGGGGAGGCCGCGGGGAGGTCGCAGGAGAGCCCTGGCACGTTCCTTGGGCGGCCACCGGGGTGGGATTTTGCAGGAGCGAACGCCAGTAGGTCCCAGCTGAGAAGCCAGCGTGTGCGTGAAGACAAGGCTGGCACGTGAGAGGACGACGAGACAGCTGGCCTTGGCTGAACCCGCGTGACGGGTGGGGCACTGCGTGGGTGCCAGGTCCCAGGTCTTGAGGGCTAGGCTCCAGGCAAGACGCTGGGCACCCTGGCTCGCTGCTGAAGACCCTTCGGGAAGACGTCAGAGCAGTGACTCCAGCATTTCCGACCAAAGGCTGGGAAAGGAACCCAGGAGGGCCTCAGGCCTGTCGGTCAGTTTTAAGCCAATGCAGGAGGGAGGGGACTCCCAGACAGATGGGAAGATGCCCTGGGCCTTTCACATCTGTGTGGAAGAAAGGCGGGAATGTGACCCTCGCTCCCAGTTCCTGAAACCAGCAAACAGGACACGAGTGGCCTATGCCAGACCCACGTAAGATTCTTCTCAGGAACCTCTGTAGAGGCTGTTCATCTCACTAACAGTAACAGTAAGTGATGGAGCCGGGCTCGGTGGCTCAGCCCGTAATCCAGCACTTTGGGAGGCCGAGGTGAATGGATGGCCTGAGCCTGCGGGTTCGAGACCCGCGTGGGCAACTTGGCGAGACCTCATCTCTACAATAAATCAAAAATCAGCCGGGCATGGTAGCGCGTGCCTGTAGTTCCAGCTACTTGGAAGGCTGAGGTGGAAGGACCGCCGGAGCCCAGCAGGTCGAGGCTGCAGTGGCCGGGAGCAGCCACAGCACTCCAGTCTGGGCGACAGAGTGAGACTCCAACTCAAAAAAAAAAAAAATAGGTGATGGCAACAATGAATTGGCCCAGGGTTTCCGTGTCAGGTATTGGGCTAAGTATCCATTCGCTCCTTTCATTTTTTCAAAACCACCCTGTGGAGGGTCACTTGAATCCAAGAGCTCGAGGCTGCAGTGAGCTATGATCACACCATTGCACTACAGCCTGGGCAACAGAGCAAGACCTTGTCTCTAAAAAAGCAAAATACACCCTGTAGAGGATGTTACTGAGAAGTCGGATGACCTTGCTCAAGGTTATGTAGCTGGGAACTGGCAGCCTGCGAGCCCTGCTCTGAGCGGGCACTACCTCTGAGGGGCACCGGCCCTTATCTCCATGTGGGAAACTAGACCAAAACACCTGTAAGAATAGAATTAAGAAGACCAAATTCCCACTGAGACTGGAGCTTTTTTATTTTTTTATTTTTATTATTTATGTATTTTTTGAGTTGGAGTCTCACTCTGTCGCCCAGCCTGGAGTGCAGTGCCACGCTCCCGGCCACCGCAGCCTCGACCTGCTGGGCTCCGGTGATCCTTCCGCCTCAGCCTTCCAAGTAGCTGGAACTATAGGCATGGGCCACCAAGCCTGGCTAAGTTTTTGATTTATTGTAGAGACAGGGTCTCACCAAGTTGCCCAGGCGGGTCTCAAACCTATAGGCTCAGGCAATCCACCTGACTCGGCCTCTCAAAGTGCTGGGATTACAGGCTGAGCCACTGAGCCCGGCCGACTAGAGTTTTTTTAAAACGCCCAAACCATTTTGGCACTTGGTACTGTGACTTAGGTTTAAAGATGTGTTTGCCTGTAATGGTTTTAGCACTCCCTAAAGAGAAAAGTTAAATTCTCCCAAACAAAAGAAATTAAATGACAAGAAGAGTTTGTCGGGTAGCATTGAACCTTGGAGGGCCACAAACTATCATAATTTAGCAGACTTTATTTGCCCCTAAACCAGCTTTGGCCCCCAGGGAGGTGGCATCAACTCCACAGAGAATGTGAGGTTGAAAGCCGTTAGGAGAGCACGAAGGACGATTGGCAGGAGGTGGGATCATTTGACTTCCGTGTTGACCGTGTTCCCTCACTAACGACGAGCATCTTCGAATTGGAAGGGCAAGGCCTGGCTTGCTGAGAAGGCAGACCCGGGAGGAGGAGGCACCTGCCCACCCTCCTGCTGAGGGCTGCTGAGCTCTGGCCCTAAGGGAAAGGACCGAGAAACCACGGCCTGGGTGTAAACAGCGAAAGGCGAGGGAGAGGCTCACGTGGAAAAGCACAAACACGGACCAACACGTGCTACTTTCTGACATCCAAGAGGTCATCAGTGAGAAGTGCCCACGGGCTTTCTGTGTTTTCGAGGAGGGAGGGAGGGGCAGGGGAGAAGGACAAAGGTCCAATTCTGGTTCGAGGTAAAAGATCTTTTCAACCAAGGGAACGTGCCCCTCGGCCGAACGGGGTGTCCCGCCACAGGCTGAAAGACTCCATCACGACCACCCCCCGCAACTGAAAACGACGAGTCAGGGACAGTATGGGAGAGGGGGGCGTGATGACTTCCAAGACCCAAGCCATCCCTTAAGACTGTGGGATTTGCAGAACAACTCAAAGGAGCCCTAGAAAGGGGCAGAGCCTGTTGAAATACCAAGAATTAACTTTAAATACTTCAAAATTCCAAGCTGTAGCCCTCTTATTTGGAGTAAGAGTCTGCCCCACTGAATTCTACAAAACCACCGCCTGAAGCGCCCCTTGGACTCTGGAAATTGTGGTGTCCAGGGAGTAGCTCTAATTGTTTCAGTGGGCAGGGGGAACTCGATGGCAGTGGAAGGGGCTTCCGTTCTAGAACGGCCCCGAGTGATGTGAGTCCACGAAGCCCAGTCTCTCCCATGACCTGAGGTGGCGGCAGCCCCGAACGGCGGTCTACACGATCCACAGGGCTATGGAGTAGGGCTGCACCAGGGAGCCGGACTGGGGAATACGCTGGTTTCTCCTTCAGCCACCAGGAGATTCCCTTCGGAGCATTCCTTTTAACCCATTAGTGGATCACACAATCAAGTCCATGGGTCTCGATCAGCACTTTTATTTTTTTAGTGAAGGAGAACACGATAGAATCGACCAGAAAAGAGGAAAACACACTACACACAGTAAGAGTAAATGCTGATCTGTGAAACTTGCTTTCATTCGCCATGTGCGTGTGTCCGTGCGTGTTTGTCACGAGCCATGATTAAATACGTCTCTCACCACGGTCACCCTACGATACTAAAGTCTTGGACTAGGGACACAGCCATGCAGGAGAAAGGAGGCAAGACACTGGGTGGAGACGGTGAGTTTTAATGCCACAGCCAACACCCACAAGCACACTCTGGCTCCTTCAGACAACATGATCTTTGGGTCTAGACGGTACACAGTCAAGCAACACGTGAGGAACAGGGGTACCAGGCACAACACTCCTGCTTCTAGCGAGGGGCGGGTATCAAAGTCCTTTTTTATTTTTAAATAAAAATCTAAATCTTCTCTGGCCTCCAAAAGGCTCTAATCCCAGGACTCTAATTCGTTTCAGGGGTGTTCTCTTCTGGGGTCAGTTTAAGCAGAGGGGCCTCCCCTGGGCAGCCCTCCGCCCTTCAGGTGTCTCTAATCCGTGATGTGTGCATCGAGGGTGGGGCGGGGAACACGCGTGGTGGAGAACCTTTGGTGGTGCTGGACGGGTGGTGCTTCTTCACTGGAATTTGGTGACGGCTTCGTGGATGGAGGTGGCCACGTAATCTAGATTTTTGGTGGTTAAGCCACACATGTTGATCCGACCACTTGGCAGCAGGTAGATGTGCTTTTCGTTGATCAGGTATTCGACCTGCTTGGCTGTTGAAAATCAAAAGACATAATCAGACCAGCGGGGACTTCGCACCTGCGTGACAATCACAGTTTTCCTTCTTTCCCCGTGACACAGAGAACAAGAGGAGCCATTCTGTCCAACTGACCAACAGAAAAATATACACACTAGATGCTGGAAAGTATTCCTGCTAGTTAACTTTCTATCCCAGCAAGTTGAAATTGCCACTTCTGATGGGAACTTCGATGTAAGATGACCTTCCAACCAGGCGCTGCCCGTGACACTCCCCAGGACAGCCAATCCACGATAGCGACCGTCAGACTGAGGAAGTGGCCGTGGGCTGGTTACGAAGGGCCTCCTTCAGCTCCTGCCCAGCCTGTGTTGGCTCATCCCCGCGTTCCGAGCGCAACCTCTCGTGACACTTCATTCCACCGTCTGTCCGACAATTCACTCGTCATCGCATGAAGGGCCGGACAAGGGCTGTGTGAGCGGACCGCTCAGCGGCAGAAATGCACGGGCCTCTCGGACCTGGCCCTGACCTTGGCTCCTACCTCTCGCTCTCTCTGCTGGATCGATCTCTCTCTCTCTCTCTCTCTCTCTCTCTCTCTCGGCCCCCGCCTGCCTGCCCCCCTCTCTCTGCGCCAGCTTTCTCTCACCCTTTCCCCCGCCCCAACCCTTTTTTCATCCCCTCTTCCCCTCCCTGCCTGCCTCTCACGCACTGTCTCTCATGCAGGAGAGTTTTTCCCTGTTTGCAGAAACGCCTCATGTATGAACGAGGAGAGGTCCAATCCTACTTCCTCGACACCACAAGCTCTAGAGCAGCTTTGCCTTTTGGCAAATCCGTGGCAGAATTTTAGCGGACTTTCACCCCAGTCAGCTGGGGCACCGCCTCTCTGAGGGAATGGGACCACGAGAGTAAAAGCTTCACAAACGGGCGCAAACACCGTGCGCCAGGCATGGTTCCAGGCCCCTCATTTGAACTCAGTTAACCCGGATGATAACCTTATCCCCCACTTGACAGTCAGGCTGGAGAGAAGTTAAAAGGTCTCCCGAGGCCGCACAGCTGGAGGGGACCTCAAGGCAGGCCGCGCGCCCGTGTCTGGGCTGCTGGCCACCATGCCACCCCGCCTCTCCACGGAAGGGGAGGACCTGGACTTGGGACTCGGGGCCACCTCAGTGCCACATGAAGAAAGCCAAACTATTTCACCCTGCCATACGTGTTCTGGGCTGGTGGTGCGGAGGGTCGGCATTCAGTAGGAGCCCACAAAGCTGCCTTTTTTTTTTTTTTTGAGTTGTAGCCTCACTCTGTCGCCCAGACTGGAGTGCCGTGTCCGCTCCCGGCCACCGCAGCCTCGACCTGCTGGGCTCCGGCGATCCTTCCGCCTCAGCCTTCCAAGTAGCCGGAATTACAGGCATGTGCTACCACGCCGGGCTGATTTTTTGATTTATTGTAGAGGTGAGGTCTCGCTGCCCAGGCGGGTCTCGAACCCGCGAGCTCAGGCAATCCATTCCGCCTCAGCCTCCCAAAGGCGCGGGGTTACAGGCTGAGCCACCGAGCCCGGCTAAAGCTGCCTTTTGTGACGAGATTTGCCTCTGTAGAGAACCTGGCCCAGACACAGCCAGGCCTTCTCTGAGCTTGTCCAGGTCCAGGAAAGATGAGCGGAGACTGACAGCTTTGAAGGTCGCAAAGAATCGTGGACCATCTCCTCCCTCAGGGACTGACCCACCCCCAGGGCTCATCTGCATCACAAGATCCCTGTGCAACCAGCCTCCTCTCCATCCCCTCTGACAGCCTGGCGAACCAAGCTCCAAGCCCCCTTCTTCCTGTAACCTCAAGATGGCATAAAAGCATCAACCAGCTGGACTTCCTTTTCTAGTTCTTCTATTCTGGAAGACTCTAATGCATATTAAGAAATGTAGATGCCTTTGCTCCTGCTTTTTTCTTTTTTTTTGAGTCAGAGTCTCAATCTGTCGCCCAGGCTGCAGTGCAGTGGCACACTCACAGCCACCCCAGCGTCGACCTGCTGGGCTCCAGCGATCCTTCTGCCTCAGCCTTCCAAGTAGCCAGAACTACAGGCGCGTGCTACCATACCTGGTTAATTTTTGATTTACTGGAGAGATGAGGTCTCATCAAATTGCCCAGCCCAGTCTCAAACCCCTGGGCTCAGGCAATCCACTCGCCTGGGCCTCCCAAAGTGCTGGGATGGCAGGCTGAGTCACCGAGCCTGGCTTTTTCTCCTGTTAAGCTGCCTTTTATCAGTGAATTTTCAGCAAGACTTCCGGAAGTCTTCCCTCCACCCTACCAACAAAGCAAGCTTCAGAAGTCACAGTTTCAGCTGTGCGGATCACAGTGATCAGGAGATGAAGCCTCCCAGCCAAGGGAACAATATAAGAGCCCATGCCCAGAGGCAGGTGTGGTTATAGGGCTCCTGCCTTGGTGGCTTTTTTTTTGTTGTTTTTGGGGGGTTTTTTTGAGTTAGAGTCTCACTCTGTAGCCCAGACTGGAGTGCAGTGGCTGCTCCCGGCCACCGCAGCCTCGACCTGCTGGGCTCCGGCGATCCTTCTGCCTCAGCCTTCCAAGTAGCTGGAACTACAGGCGTGCGCTATAAAGTCTGGCTAGTTTTTTGGTTTATCGCAGAGATGAGGTCTCGCCAAGTTGCCCAGGCAGGTCTCAAACCCGCAGGCTCGGGCAATCCACTCACCTCGGCCTCCCAAAGCGTGGGATTACAGGCTGAGCCACCGAGCTTGGTCTGTTTTTTTTGGTTTTTTTTTTTAACAATTTTTTTAAAAATGAGACTTCTCACAGGAGTAGGTGTGGTTACAGGGTTCCTGCCTTGATTGTTTTTTTTTTTTAACAATTTTTTAAAAATGAGACTTCTCACATGCCACTGCACTCCAGCCTGAGTGACAGAGTGAGACTCCAACTCAAAAAAAAAAAGAGACTTCTCTACTTTCCGCAAGGAGGGAAATTACCACAGTTTGTGAAGCTAGTACGTCACGGACCATTTCCTAGAAAAAGGCCAATACACACATGGACCATCTTTTAATCTAATTTCAGGGGCTTTGCCAATCTCCTAAAGCACCTCCATGACTCCAGGTTAAAGACCCCTGTTCTGAAGATGAAAGGCAGTAAAGGAAGTCCTGTCACATGAGAATCGCAGGCAGCAGGTGGTGGGTAAGTGGGGGATCACTGCACAATTCCTCCAACTTTTCCTAACAGAATGTTGGGAGGGAAAAAAAAGTCGTTTTTAAAAAAAGGTAAGTGATATTAAGTGCCACAAATATAACTTTTGTGTGATAAACAGCCCTGTTCTCATCATTTTTCTATACATAATAAAACTAATTTCCTACTTGAGAGCAGGGACAGGGATATTTCATGGGGAAATACCCCATCGTGTGAGCTCTCAGAATATTCCCACTAACAACTACTTCCACTACGCCTGATGTCTTGACAGCCATATGAGGAGGACTTCACTAATTCAAGTGATCCAATTCTTCATCCCGCAGTCGTAGGACACCCAGAGCCAGCTGAGCTACTCCTCTGTGTTCTTGGGTGGCCTCAGTTTACCCTAAAGTACTCTGAGGGGTCTACAATCCCCATTGCCTCTCATCTCTATTCATTTCCTTTGGCTTTTTCTAAGCCAGCTCACCCTGGCCCTCTGAGGCCCCCTTACAGTACCCCGGGCCCCTGATGTTCCACCTCCACCCCACGACAGCCACATGACATCCCTCCTAGAGCCGTGAGGACACGCAGGTGAGTGGCACACCTGTACCGTGCGGCCCATGGTATGGCCAGTAGTGTTCAGGAATTCATAACTAAATGAGCCCTGTCATCAGAAGGGACTGCTGGTGGCAGGTACGTCCTTTTGACGGCTGGCCAAGACGTGCACAGCGACTCGCAAGAGTCTCAATCAGCTCTGCACTCCAACTACCAGCCTCTAAGTTCTGACCCAGGAAATGAAGAGGTCACTTTGCAACCTCTTTCTGGGGCTAATACCTGAAGATAGGAAAGATCCACTAAGAAATTCAGTCCCTGAATCATCATATATAATATTTGTACTCAGGCTTCAGCTAAAGCCAAAAGCAACCTGAACATTTATGAGAGGCCTTTCGTAAATCACAGCTTCAAGCTACAAAGCCTGGTCCTCCCCAGCTGGCTCTGAACCACTTCCCAGGCCACAGAAACGAAAACATCTTGGCTGCGGGTCAGCAGGGCAGACCACGAACTCGCTCTTATAAGACCGGAGGGCCTCAGGAGAGGGCAGGCACTCCAAATGAGCCAACTTGCCCTGGGTCACGGTAAAGGCTGCCCAGCAAGGCAAGAGCCGCAGGGGGAGCTCATGGCCAGCACTGCGGAGTGTGGTGCGTCCACTGCGCCCCGCCACTGGGGATGTAGGGGGCCACTTACGGTTCAACCCCGTGAAGCTGAACATGCCGATCTGCTCGGTGATGTGGTTCCAGGTCCCGGGGGTCCTGAGGGTTTCCAGGCGTGCCCTGAGTTCGGATCTCATGGTCAGAATTCTGTCAGCCATCGTCTTCACGTTACCCGTCCTGAAGCAAAACAGCAACATACACTCCAGTCCAGACGGGAAAACAGAGGCTTAAAAACTGCAGCTGAACCGGGATCACACCCTGCCTACTGCAGCGTGTGGATGCCTGCATGGGGGGGAGAGCAGACTGGGGAGACAGACTTGGCACAGAAGGACAGGATGGTGTTTACTGACGGAGCCTAGTGCCAGCCTCGGCTGGCGGCCGCACTAACGCGTCTACAGAGGCTTCCCCGGGGTGTGGGTACAGACAGGAGATCGGGCTTTATCGGGCCTAATTAGAGACTGCAGATTTAGCTACTACATAAAAATTCCTCTGTTCTAAAAGCAGATAAAAGTATATAAATTACAGGCAAAAATAAGAGCCTCGAAATTGTCATCCTGCATCCTTCTATCAGGAGCTCCTTCCTGTTTTCCAACTTTACGGGGAGGAAGACGGGGTGGGGGGCGGGGAAGCGGGGAGAGAAGCGCCACTGAGCGCCTCTCCTCTGTTCCAGGAGCTGTCAGGCCCACGCGAGGTGAGACAGGTGCCAGCTCCGCTGCACAGAAATGTCTGAGACTCAAGGAGGTTACAGCGATCCTGCGCAGGCCGGCTCGGTGTCCCCACGCCAACCGGCCCGTGTGACCCCCCGCCGGGCTGTGCACCCCTCACCATTCCTGGAAGAGCTCGGGGTTGGAGAGGGTGGAGGCCACGATGCGCGCTCCCTGGGCGGGGGGGTTGGACCACGTGATGCGCACGATCTTCTCCATCTGCGACAGGACCCGCAGGATGCTGTCGGCCTCTTTCCCGACCACGGTCAGGTTCCCCACGCGCTCGTCTAAAGAGAGGGCGAGAGTCAGGTGGCAGAGGGGGCGCGTGGCGGGCGGCTGGCGGCGGCTGGGCGCGACTCCCAGGAGAGCACTCACTGTAGAGCCCGAAGTTCTTGGAGAAGGACTGGGCGCAGAAGAGCTCGAAGCCCTCGGACACGAAGTAGCGGATGGCCCAGGCGTCCTTCTCGAGGTCTCCAGACGCGAAGCCCTGGTAGGCTGAGTCAAAGAAGGGGAACAGGAACCGGCGCTGCGAGGAAGGAAAGCGCGTCAGGGCGGGAAGTCCGGAGCCGACCTCGGTGCGGGCTGCCTCCCCTCCCCTCCCGGAGGGTTCCGACGCCGCCGTCTCTCCTAGCCCCTCTCTCCCAATCTGTCTCCCCATCCGTCGTGCCTAGTCTGTCCCTGCACCCGTCTCTCCCAGTTCTCAGCTAGGAATACCCACCCACCAGGAAACGACTTCGGGAACTCTACCACGTAGTGTATTGTCCCAGAGTGTCACGTGCAGCGTGGCTAGCAGGCTTACTGCTGAGGCGGGGAGGAACTGCCCCATGCTGGTGGATTCCTCCCTGCGAATTCCTGGTGGTGGCCTGGTGTTCCCAGGGCCTCCTCGCCACCTCAGAGCTGTTCCACTGGGGACTCGCATGCACAGGAGTCTCTGTTCTCACCACGCTCTGTCTCCAAGAGCTCTCCACAGGAACCTGCTCGGCCACTGGGCTGAGTGGACACCACATCCTCCTAGCACCTTCTGGCCTGGGGCTGCACCCGGCACACACCTCCTGGGCGTCTCTCCATGAGGTGAGACAGCTGTGTCTGGGCTCTCACTCTGCAGCTCACCCCCCTCCCGGTCCCACCCAAGTCCTTCCAGTCCTGCCTCCTGAGAGCTCCAGAACCCTGTGCACCCACCGCCACCAGCCCCGCCTCCTGCACTCAGGCACCGTCTACTCCTGCCCGGATTCAGGCCGCAGCCTCTTCACTGGTCCCCAGCCCGCCCCATCTCACCTCCTGTGACCCATCCCCTGCTGTGTAGTCAGGGTGACCTGAGGACAATGTCACTCCCTGACACCCTGGAGTTCCGTACTCCTGCTGCTGAGAACAAGTCCGAGGCCCAGCACAGCCCCGCCCTTTGCTCTCTGGCCCCACCCCTCACTCCCTGCTCCCTTAGAGCTCTAAGCCAGGCAAGAATGACTCTCATCTCCTTAAAGGGGCACGATCTCTGCCCAGGGCTTTTGGCCATGCTCTTCCTCTGCAGAGACACCCCTGCCCTGCCAGCCTTTTCGTAGATGCCCGCTCGACACCTCCCCTCCTACAAGACTCAACATGGAAACTGCTTCTTCCACAAGGCTCCTGCTTCTCCGACAAATACTCTGCCGGAAGTCTGGGCTACGTAACCCCTATAACTCCATCGACACAGTCATCACACAGTGTCATCACTGCCTCAACACTATCTGTTCTTGAGGGTGGGGTCCATGCCTTCTGTGTTCGCTGCTGCATCCCCTCAGTGCCTAGCACCCAGCAACTCCTCAGCAAGTAGTCTATAACCACGGTCATGAAGAGTGTACACACTTTGAGCTAGAAATTCCAACCTAGTTATGCCAAAGAAATAATAAAAAGAAGTTTTACTGAATAATTGTTCATCAGATCAAGAAATCTGAAGAATACCTAAATATCCATCAAATGATTTACCCAGCCCCTAATATGACATATCCATGAAAGGGATATAATACAGCTATAAAAAATGATGTTGCGAAATATTTAATGACGGGTATATAAAGAAGTTCAAGGCCAGGCAGAGTGGCTCATGCCTGTAATGCCAGCACTTAGGGAGGCCTAGGCGGGAGGATGGCTTAAAGCCAGGAGTTCAAGACCAGCCTGCATAACAAAGCAAGAGTCTATCTCTACCAAAAAACTGTTTTTTTAATTAGCTGGGTATAGTGGCATATGCTTGTGATTTTAGCTACTTGGGAGGCTGAGTCATGAAGGATCACTTGAGTCCAGGAGTTTGAGGCTGAGCTGTGATCACACCATTACACTGCAGCCTGCGTATCAGAGATAGACCCTGTCTCTTTAAAAGGAAAAAACATGGCCGGGCACAATGGCTCATGCCTATAATCCCAGAATTTTGGGAGGCTGAGGTGAGAGGATTGCCTGAGCCCACAAGTTCGAGACCAGCCTGGGCAACTTGGTGAAATCCCATCTCTACAATAAATCAAAAAATTAGCCAGATGTGGTGCTGTGGTTCCAGCTACTTGGAAAGCTGAGGCAGAAGGAGTGCCTGAGCCCAGCAGATGGAGGCTGTGGTGACCAGGAGTGTGCCACTGCCCTCCAGCCTGGGTGACAGAGTAAGACTCCTACTCAAAAAAAAAAGAAAGAGGTTCAAATGAAAAACAAAGTGTTACAGTACAGACAAAATGATCTCATCTCTGTGTGTACTTATACATACGCATACACACACACGTACATACACATGAGGGAGACCCCAAGCCCCCGAAATTTATTTATAAAAAATTGTCTATTTATTCCTACATGTTTAAACTTCAGTCACCTTCAAAGTCCTCTCCATTTGATGCAATACACCTATCGAGATGCTTTTTCCATTGTTCAAAACAGTTTTTAAACTCATCAACTTTTGAGAACTTTTAATGCTTCCGCCATTTTTTGTTTCACTTCTTTCACATCAGCAAAATGTCTCCCTTGGAGTACTTTTTTCATTCAGGGAAACAACAGAAAAAGACAGTGGCCAGGCTCGGTGGCTCAGCCTGTAATCTCAGCACTTTGGGAGGCTGAGGCGAGTGGATTGCCTGAGCCTGTAGGTTCAAGACCAGCCCAGGCAACTTGGCAAGACCTCGTCTCTACAATAAGATAAAAAACAGCCATGTATGGTAGCACACGTCTGTAGTTCCAGCTACTCGGAAGACTGAGGCGGAAGGATCGCTGGAGCCCAGAAGGTTGGCACTGGGGTGGCTGTAAGCATGTGTGCCACTGCACTCCAGCCTAGGCGAAGCAGTGAGACTCTGACTCAAAAAAAAAAAAAAAAGATGGCTGGGGTGAGACTGGGTGGATAAGGAGGGTGGGACACCAGGGTCACACCGTCTTTGATCAAAAACTGCTGAACACTCAGTACAGCACTCAGTGGGCAGGTGTGTTGTCATAGTGGGAGAACCGGTCACCTGTTTGCCACAACTCAGGACGTTTCTCCCACAAGTTTTGAGAAGGTTGCGTCACGATTTGCGAAAGAAAAGTCCCGAGTTGTGGCAAACAGGTGACTGGAGTTTAAACATGTAAGAATAAATACAGTTTTTTTAATAAATAAATGCCAGCTTTTTGGGGTTCCCCTCGTGTGTGTATAATAAAACGACACACACACCCCCATCCAAGGACTGATTTGCTACCATTAACAGTGTCTTTCTCCAATTTGTTTTTGTCCCCCTCTAGACTTTTCTCTATTTTCCAAGTTATTCTGAAGACAGGCACTGCCTCTGGGCACACTGAATGACCATCCACACCGCCCTTCCAGAATGCTCTGGGCAGTACCTTCATGACAGCGGCAATTTGCTTCCACTGTTCCGGGGTTGGGTCGGTCCCGGTCGGGTTGTGCGCACAGGCGTGGAGGACGAAAATGGAGAACTCAGGAGCATTCTGCAGGGAAGGAAGTGACATCAGTGCCCACGCCAGCAGTGACAGCAGGACACTGAGGCAGTTGCACTGGTCAGCCACGAAGGGGACAGGGCAGCCACAGTCCTGTCCCTCTTCCCTCTCTCTCTCTCTGCCATTTTCCTGCCATTTCCCTCTTATGCACTATGTTAGAAACCGCCACCCGGTCTGGGGAAGGCACCCCAGACTCTCAGCAACCGCGGCAAAGACTTGCCTGCTGCTCCTGATGCCATGGAGTTCTCTTTTTCTCCTGAGTGACTCACCTCCAAATCACTCAGGAAACCCTGGAGGTCAAGTCCTCTCTTCTTTGCATCCCAGTAGCGATAGGACCGAATGTCTTTAAAACCAGCGGCAGAAAACACACCATTATGATTCTCTGCAAAAAAAGGGGTAAAATGTCAAACACTTTTACAAATACGAGGAGGTATCACTGGATACAAGTCAGCTCCCAGGGCCCTCCCGGGTTCAATGTCCACTGGGCGCCAGAGGCCAGGGGCTGAGATGCAGAAGAGTGACTGCAGCCAAGAACAAGTTCGACCAGTCACATCAGTGCCAACTTACATCCTACTACAATGGTACTTCTAGGTCTACACTCTGTGCCTCCTCTGGAGGGTTTCGACACAGACTAAAAGACAGGTCTACCAAGAGGCTTGGGAAAGAACATTCCTAATTTGCATTTGAGCTCTGGGTTTCTCGTGCCCCATAATCCGCTGCTCAAGCCGTTCCCAAAGGCCAGGTGTTCCAGGGCTGAATTACATGTTCTGCATAACCGGGGACAGTCACAAGGCTAATTCTTTGTGTTCTCTTGATCGCTCCTCTTGCTACAGCGGAAGGACTCACCCCAGCTGGGTGAGGACACATAGACAGGTGTGGTCTTGTTGTTTGTTCCATTGTACCATCGCGCCAAAAACTCAGCTCCAATTCGAAGTGCTCCTGTTCCCCCCAAAGACTGCACACCTCCTACCTGAGAAAGAAGAAGCAAGTCACAGGTGAGTCAGATCCATGTTTGCAAAAATAAGGTAATAGTGAGTGCTCACTTGGGCCTGCTCTGGGCTAAGCCCTTTAGTTGTATTATCGCATCAAAACCTCACAACCACAACATGAAGAAGGCACTGTTATTTGCCCATGTTTACAAGTGAGGAAACAGGCTGCAAGAGGTCAAATACCTTGCTCGAAGCTACCAGCTACTGAGCAGGAGGCTGGGTCTTCAACCCAGGAGGTGAAACTCTAGGTGGAGCATCCCTTCTGCACACAGAGGCAGAGGCCACACCACAGTGTGTGTACCTCAGAAGGCAAACCCTCTCTTCACCGCTCAGCCGAGATCACATTTTCCCCCAAAAGAAGCCATGAAAGTGTTTCCAGCTTGCCAGTGACCTCTGTCTGAGGCATTCCTTCTCTCTTTACAACTCAAGCTTATTAATCCTGAGAAATATGTTCAAACAAAACAGATCAGGTGCACTGTAATCCCAGCATTTTAGAAAGCCAAGACAGGAAGATCATTTGAGCCCAGGAGTTCGAGACCAGCCAGGACAACATATTTTTTATTTATTTATTTTTATTTTTAAAAGGTAGGATACAATTTTACCATAATTTTTAAAACCTATATACATGTCTAGGATTTGCTGTAAAATAATCCAGTTTTGGCAGTGAGGGGGAAGGACGAGGTGAGGGTGGGAAGAGGGAATTATACAAGACTAACCAAATACAGATAACCGTTGAAGCTATGGGATGGATACACGAGAATTCATTCATTATATTGTTTTCTCTGCTTTCATATAGATTCAAAATCTTTCACAATAAAAGGGTTAAAAAGTCTTCCTAGGTAGAGAAGAAAATCTCACTAAATCTTTTTTTTTTTTTTTGAGTTGGAGTCTCATTCTGTAGCCCACACTGGAGTGCAGTAACACGCTCCCAGCCACTGTAGCCTCGACCTGCTAGGCTCCGGCGAGCCTTCCGCCTCAGCCTTCCAAGCAGCCGGAACTACAGGCACCTGCTACCATGCCCGGCTAACTTTTGATTTGTTGTAGAGACGAGGTCTTGCCAGGTTGCTCAGGTGGGTCTCAAACCCGTGGGCTCAGGCAATCCACTCGCCTTGGTCTCCCAAAGTGCTGGATTACGGGCTAAGCCACCAAGCCCGGCCCCTAAATAATTTTAATAACCTAACAGAATACTGATGTTAAAAGCAGACAAAGGAAAAAAGTAAAAAAAGGAGACCCTGTTCCTTCACGTATCTTAATATTAACTTCCCAAATCAACACAAATGAACAGTATCAATTCAACAGTCTGGGAAAAGTCACCCCCTTGATTGAGGGAGTGACACCCCACAAGTGCACGATCTTAGGAGACATATCATAAAGTCTGCTATGCTGCTAGACAGAGAAAACCCAAAGTGACCATCATAACAGATAAGAAAAGCTTCACCATTCCTGCTATAAATGCTTATTAGTAAAACAGCAAACAATGGATTCTTCCTGAAAATAACTGGAAAAAGATTTAACGCCTAAGTCAGTGAAAGGACAGCACGGAGTCAATATGCCCAATGAGCAGTCATCTCAACACTGTCTAGATCTGTCATGTTTCTCTAGCAGTTTACTTTATCCTCTAACCACTAGGCAAGGACAGAACCGGTTTCTCAGAGGTAGCTATTGATAACTGCTTCACTTGTTTCTTTCTTTCTTTTTTTTTTTTTTGAGTTGGAGTCTCACTCTGTCGCCCAGACTGGAGTGCAGTGGCCGCTCCCGGCCACCGCAGCCTCGACCTGCTGGGCTCCGGCGATCCTTCTACCTCAGCCTTCCGAGTAGCTGGAACTACAGGCGCGCGCTACCACGCCCGGCTAGTTTTTGATTTATTGTAGAGATGATGTCTTGTCAAGTTGCCCAGGCGGGTCTCGAACCCGCGGGCTCAGGCAATCCACTCACCTCGGCCTCCCAACCAGCTTGTTTCTTAAACAAGTTAACCTAGTCAGCTCTTCATGACCTAGACCCCATCAACTCGGCAACCGTCATGTGACTGACCCACCCATCTGCCTGCTGTTCATTACCTGATTAATACCTGCATGTACCTGCCCTCCATGATGAAGTGGAATAGACCACCACCCAACCACCTTAGTGACCAGCCTCCATCAGGGGGAATGTTTAAAAGCATTCAATCTCAAGCAGCCAGCCGCCAACGCTTTGCTAAGCCATGGTCCGACCATGAGGCTCCTTGAGCCACAGTCGCTATGTTTCCTAGCCTTGGCCCCCTCCCCTACCTTGGGGAGGTGACTCTCCTCTCTCTCCAATTTATTTTTTACATAAACTATATTTTCCAATCTAACTTCTGTGCAATTCTTTGCATCTTTCTCGCGGCACCAGACCGCACAACCTCACCCCAGCAGGTCCGACCTAACATTTGGAGGCCCTGCTGGGATATACTTTTTAACCTAACATTTTTGGAGGTCCCAGCAGTATCTTTTTTTTTTTTAATTGGAGTCTCACTCTTGTTGCCCAGACTGGAATGCAGGGGCACTCTCACGGCCACCATGGCCTCAGCCTGCTGGGCTTGAGCGATCCTTCTACCTCAGCCTTCCAAGTAGCCAGAACTACAGACGCACGCCACCACACCCGGCTAGTTTTTGTGATTCATTGTAGAGATGAGGTCTCACCAAGTTGCTCAGGTTGGTCTCGACTTCCCGGGTTCAGGCAATCCTCTCACCTTGACCTCCCAAAGTGCTGGGATGACAGGCTAAGCCACGGCGCTCGGCCTCCCTGATTTACAGATACAGGCCACGGAGCCCTGTATCTGTAAATCGGTCATCCTATCTCTGTGCCCAGCCCTTTAACCTAACATTTTTGGAGGTCCCACCAAGATCCCCGTACTAGAATTTTGGTGCTAACAGTCAGCTTCACGTGAAGAATGAATCAGCAGAAACCCCACTTAGGCCAGGGACAAGGCAAGGACACCAACTGTCACCACTGTTATTCACCAGTGTCCTGTCTATATTCACAGGCATATGCATCTAGGGACTCCACCGGAAATGCGAAACGCCAGTGAAGCTGATGCTGTAGGAGATGCGAAGCTGAACCCAGCTGCCCATCGGAGGGTCGTGGAGGCAGCGGCCTGGGAGCACAGCTGGTGGGCGCAAGTCTGGTGCGCTGCCTATCCCATTCTGCAGGGATCCCTAGTGAGCATTTGGCCCAGCCACTATGCCTTAAGGGCTCTGTCCCTACACTGTGGTCTACCTGGACTCTATGCAAATCACCACCAAGGCGAGAAAACCCAAATGTGCATGTGTGTTTTATGGATGGCAACTGCATACGCTCCAATACGCTCCTTCCCATTGCAGACACCTGGCTACTTGGGAATGCAAAAGCGTCCCATGCAAATGAGCAAGGTTTCCCTGGAAGGTCGTTCAAGTCATCACTGAAACAAGGCAGATGCAATCAATATCAGTGAACAGGTTCCCAGGCACCGTTTCTCGTGCCCGCACTCCACCTTTAGCTCTGCCTTTCTCTCCCCTCTTCAGAAAGCAAACTCGGCAAAGGATGTCAAAGTCAGCAGACTAGATTGGCAATGTGCTGAGAAGGAATAAATCCACTTGACTAACATTAACTGACGCTTCACATTCATGATATATATGACACTTGAAATAGCAAATTCTCAAGAAATTATCACTCCCAAAAATATACTGAACACTGGATGGTTTCAGTAAAATGCAAGTTGCTCTACATATCAGCATTTAAGAGAAACACATTTTTGGTGAATCAATAATGTAGCAATTTGGTCATTCTGGGAACTGATTTTTGCCAAATCATCCTAGAGCCCAAGAAAATCCTGCATTGGGTAGGAAGGAGAATCATAGTATCAAAGGAAATAAGTACCAACGTCCCAAGGGGCCCGGCAACTGGACCTGGCTACATAGAGGTACCCAGAACCAGGGACAGCCCACGGGGCTGGTGTGAAGTTACACAAAGCAGAACTCTGTGTCTGCTGGGTATATCGGTACAAACTGCATCTCTGGGATCACAATTTGCTGATGTTATGACTTCCCTGTGAGGAGGAGGAGAGGTGACCACGAGACCCTAGGAACTCTCCTGGGATCTGGCACGTGGCACAACACAAACCCGTGCTGAGCTCGATGAAGAAAGGCAGTGGAGAAAAGACCCGAGCTGCAGCAAAGCCCCAGTGTCCTGGAGGCGAGGGTTGGGGAGGGGGGTCATCACGGGGCAGGGAGCAGGGTCCAGGAGCTCTCCCCTCTGCAACGACTCCATAGCTTCAGAAGTCAAGAGCACGGTGAGAGAAGGGAAAAACAGACATCTGTCTGGGTCCTAAGGTCTGAAAATGAAAAAATGATAATACGAGGCAGTGAGGAGTCTAGAAAACTGGCCTCCTGGGCCAGGCTCGGTGGTTCAGCCTGTAATCCCAGCACCTTGGGAAGCCGAGGTGAGTGGATTGCCTGAGCCTGCGGGTTCGAGACCCTTCTGGGCAACTTGGTGAGACCTCATCTCTACAATAAATCAAAAATTAGCCGGGCGTGGTAGTGCGCGCCTGTAGTTCCAGTTACTTGGAAGGCTGAGGCGGAAGGATGGCCAGAGCCAAGCAGGTCCAGGCTGTGGTGGCTGGGAGCGGCCACTGCACTCCAGTCTGGGTGACAGAGTGAGACTCCAACTCAAAAAAAAAGAAAAAGAAAAGAAAACTGGCCTCCTCAAGATGGGGAAGGACCTGAGAGACACGATTCCTGTTTGTTTCTGCATTCGTTTATTTATGCGCTCATGTAGCATCTCCTTTAAGTTTTGGCTGGAACGTCGTTTCTATTTCTACCATGACCACCCAGTTAACACCGGATCCACCTCCAGAATGCCCAGCATGCCTCCCCCGCTCTATCCTGATAGCATTTTTCACCTTGAATACACAACGCCATTTTCTATGCCACTCATCCTGTGTTTGTCTGTTCCTCTCCACAAAATTGAAAACTGACTGAAAAACTAGACTGAAAAAACTGAAAACTGGATTCCGTGCATTTGGGCCACGGTTGTGCTCCAGCCTCTAAAACCATGCTCAGCCCTGGTGGCGAGCATCCGATGCCGAAATGAATGAGTGAATTCCAATACTGGAACTCTCTGGGGTCCCAGAGCTAAATGCTGACGAGCTGCACGGTAAAGAAGTAAGCCATATTCCCTACCTTGGGGAAGTCGTGGGCTTATACAATCATACAGGACAGCAGGCACAGTGGGCACCCGTTAGCCCCAAGCTGTGAACAAAGTCCTGTGATAACACAGAGGACTTTGAACAACTCCTCTGCCTGAGAGACTAAGAATTCAGTGTGAAGTGACCCTTGATCGGGTTTGAAGGGCCTGGAGGTGGGGACTGGGGCGTGAGGGGAGTGAGGGAGGGCATTCCGGGCAGAGGGAAGAGCCAGGAAGAGGCTCTCCGTCAGGGTGGGGCCTGGTGGGTCCAGGAAACAGCGAGGCTCTTCGAAAGGCAGGACCCCTAGGGGCCTGGGGCTGCGAGTGCCTGGAAGAACAGGGTGAAAGCCATCTACTAAACTCACGCTTTTACCCTGTGTGCGGGGTGGGGGAGCAGGTGACATGACTGATTCGCCTTCTTTGCTAAGGAAGGTCATTCCAGCTGCAGTGTGCAGAATGTGCTAGAATGAGGAAGAGGCTAGAGCCAGGAAGGTCAGTGAGGAGGCTGTCACTGAACTAAGACAGCGGGCTGGGGATGGTGAGGCCTTGCAGGAAAAAGGGACAGCTGGGAACTCAGTAATAGCTGCCCTGGGGTGATGTGACGCCATGAGACTGTCCCACACCCGCCCAAAGAAGATCTTCAAATATTTGCTGCATTGAAGACTGCCATTTAAAACCATTCTATGATCAAAAATACAACACAGGATGAACCAGACCGAGAGGGAGCCCGGGCCAAGGCCACGGCAATGGCCTCCAGGTTCACAGTGTTAAGTCATCGACGGGATCAACGGGGAAGAAGGGGCACCTGCCAGCACGCTTGCTGACTGGGTAAGAAATGCACATCTTGGCCAGGCACGATGGCTCAAGTTTATCATCCCAGCACTTTGGGAGGCCGAGGCGAGAGGACTGCCTGAGCCCTTGGGTTCAATACCAGCCTGGGCAACATGGTGAGACTTTGTCTCTACAATAAATCAAAAAATTAGCCAGGGATGGTGGCGCGTGCCAGTAGTTCCAGCCACTTGGAAGGCTGAGGCAGAAGGATCATCTGAGCCCAGTAGGTTGAGGCTGCAGTGGTTGTGAGCGTGCTGCTGTACTCCAGCCTGGGCGACAGAGTGAGACTCCAACTCAAAAAAAAATACAAGAATGGGCCGGGACTTCAGAAGGCATCTAGACTAGTGGTTCTTGACCTTTTGGGGATCACAGACACCTTTCAAAAATCTGATAAAAGCTATGAACCTTCTCTCCAGAAATAAGTACACACAAAACTCTGCATATGATGTCAGGAGGCTCAGAGGCCCCTTAGACGATCCCCTATGTTCTTGCTGGGATCATGAACCCACACCATGTAGCTTTCCCTAGCATGTAGCTGTAGGGGCTGGAGGGCTAAGTGACTCACCCACGGTCAAAAGCAGTGGCAAAGTCTAGAACCCGGGTCTCTCCATCATTCCATTAACTCCTTTTTCTTGGCGTCTCCACTGACTGCTTCAAACCCAGCAGCTGACATCTGAGGATCTACTGGGCAGAACTGAACGACGGAAGAGCCATGCTCTGTACGTGGCCATGGCCATGGTATTTGCGCCAGCAGGTTCCTGAACGCACACTGTGGAAACGCGTACCCACTGGCAGTTCAGCAGCCATCACCCTCATCCTTGACAACAAATGCAGTTTTCAACCTCTTTACTTTCACGGTGTCTACAGAGAAAACACATCCTCGCCCGAAACTTACCCGCTTCTCCTTGAGGGCTGGGCTGTCATCACCCAGGGCGAGGCGAGACGCACAGGACCGGAACTCTGCCAGGCCCAGGATGGGCAGGTACTCGTGAATGAGGCTGCAGTCATTGGCAATCTTCTGCTCCACCTTCCTCACCACTGGCAAAACCCAGGGCTGGCAGTCGTCCGTGCGGTACGCTGAGGGCGGAAGAGTTATACACAGGGAGTCAGGCTGTGTCCAGGGAGAGCTTGGAACGGTGAACTGGGAGAATTCCACCACCTTCAAGCCGAAACAAAACAGTGAAGGAAACTGGAGTAAAGCTTGCTCGCTTGCTGAGGACCTAGTAGGGCCGAGCACTGGGCTTGTGCTGGGCAAACGGAAGGCCAGACGTGGTTCCCCATCCTGTGAGAGCGGTCAACTACGTGACTTCCAACACGTGGAATGCAGAAACAGAACTGGGCATCACAGAGCCTGGCCCGTGAGAGAGTCCGTAGGAAGGGCACCCTGCCTCTAAAAATAGCTCACAAACGCCATGTGAACACTGCCAGGGCACTGAGGTCTCCACACCACGGGCCCAGCCAACCCCTTCCTTCTGCATCTCTCCAGAGACTTCCAGAAAAGGGGCAGGTGCTGCTTCACGTGAACTCGGCACCTTTAAACACAAACGTGAGAAAGAGAGGGCGGAAGGGGGCCCGCCTCTCCTGTCCTACAAGAGCAGAACAGGACCAATAGTGATGAACACTCCGTGACTGAGACCTCAGCAGCCCATGACTCGATCCCCCAAGGACCCACTTAAACACCTCCCAATCCTCTCTGTATGTTGACGTCAGCCATGTTTACCATTGTGACATTCATGGCTTCATCAGCCTCACCCTTTCACTGACCTCAGCTGATCAGTTTCATAACACAGAATCTTGCTATATGCAAGTCGTACATTTCTAAGCATTTCTTCTGCCGTAGGTGTATTTTTAGATCATTCTGAGTTATCCCATTGCTGATATTTTACCTATTCCACTCTTCGATTATGTTAGGATTACAGTTTTACACGGCAGCTGGCTCTGGCCTGTACCCAAGCCAATAATCTCTCCAGCAGGATTTCTAATGGGACATTTGCCTCAGAATGCCTAGGTCTCCAACAATCCTTTACTAATGCAAGTGATTTTGAAACTGGAACAAAATTTTAGAGTAATTCTGATTAAGTTTTATCTTGTTGATTTCTGCCCAACATTAATCCCTGCTTTTTTTTTTTAAAAAATCACTTTTTAGGGTGGTTTTTATTGCCTACTGAACACCACATGTTGACTGTAGAAAATTTAGAAAAGCCCAGAAAGTAAATAATAAACATTATAATGTATTCCCAATACTCAGAGGCAATGAGTATGAAAATTTTGATGTACAATCTTCTAAGCTTTATTTTCTATGGGCATATTCTTTTATAAAATATGGATCGTACTATATTTAGAATTTTCAACACTTTTTTTCCACTTAAGTATATATTACGACTATCTTCCACCATCATTAACTATTCTTACAGGTGACAAGTTTACATGTCCCCATCCCATTCTCATCCTTGATCTACCTAGCACCCAAAACCCTTCTTCATAAATAACAACTGTTTGTTTCTTATGTATCCTTCCAGAATGTCCCCATAAGCAAACAAGCAGTGCAGCTTCTAACACACATCCTTTTTACACAAAAGGTAACATAGAACATACTACATACTGTGTTGTTCTGTGCTTTTCCTTTTGAAGATCTTTTTACACTTGCGCATAGTAAGTGTCCCTGTTCTTTTTTACAGCAGCCTAAGTGATGACTGTGCCATATTTTAATTTGCTAGTCTCTTATCCATGGACCTTTGAGTTGTTTACAGTCTTTGGCTGTTAAAACAATACTTCAGTGAACAACAAAGTACTTATATCATCTCCCATGCATGCAAATATATCTGTAAGATGTCGGGTGGAAAACAGAAGAGCGTGCAACATAGAATATGCCTTTGTAGTGCTGACAGCCATGTCCAGATTGCCCTCCAAGGAACCAAGTCAATCCCACCAGTACCGTGTAGGGGCATCTGCCCTCTCGCAGCCTCACCCAGGGTGCAGTTTTGCCAAGGTGCAGATGAGAATGGACTCTCGGGGAAGTTTTAATTTTCACTGTTCTTCTTATGAATGCAACTGGGCATCCTTCATATGTATGAGCCATTTACAACCCCCCTTTTGTGACTAGAAACATACCTTTCAATGCATGATGTATTCACTGTGTTGTTTTCAATTACTCGCTATTATAAACACTGCTGATGCTCTTACATCTTTATGCATATTCATGAGTGTTTCCTTAGGAAAAATTTCTAAATGTAAATTTACTAGGTCAAAAGGTATACAACAAATAAAAGACTTTATAAGGCCATTTTGAATTTTGCGTCTGGTCTTCTATCTAGAGGGGCCCTACCAGCCACATCCTGGCAGTGTATGTGAGTTCAGTTCTAGTATTGCCAGTCTGTTTTAATTTCAGCCACCCCAGCAGATGTGAAAGTTATTTCAGCCAACTGTGCCCTCCCTCTGCAAATCTGAGAAACATACCAAGCTAGTAATAAAGATGAGGACAGACCTATAGACTGACAGAGCCACTAAGCAACCAACAGTCTTTTAGCAGGTGCCTCTAACTCACAATAATCTCCTACCACCCACAGCAGACCTCCAGCACCCCAGCCCACCAAACGAACCTCTTCTCCACAAGTTCACAAAGCCTCCTTTACCGGGTTGGGTTTGGTCTGGTTTCTCTAAAGACATCACCAAAACAACTACTTCCAAGTAAGAGCTGGCCATAAAGCAGATCACAAGGTATTTTTGAAACTTCCTTGGGAATTGTTTTTAGAGGCAACATCTCATTATTTGTTTTTGCTGTTTTTTTGGTTTTGTGTGTTTTGTTTTTGTTGTCGTCGTTGTTTGAGTCAGAGTCTCACCCTGTCGCCCAGGCTGGAGTGCAGTGGTACAATTAAGACTCACCACAGCCTTAACCTCCTGGGCTAGGAGATCCTTCCGCCTCAGCCTCTCCAGTAGCACCTGCCAACACGCCCAGCTAATTCTTCTCTACCTTTTTGTAGAGATGTGGTCTCACTATGTTGCCCAGGCTGGTCTCAAACTCCTAGGCTCAAGCGACCCTCCCGCCTCAGTCTCCCAAAGAGCTGGGATTACAGGTGTGAGCCGCCACTGTGCCAGGAGATTTAAATATCCTCAATTGTGCCAAAGCTTTTTCCTTTGAAAGTCAACTTAACTTTTGGAAATAGTACTTGCATCATCACCGGTGAAGAGGGTGGGTGAGGAAACTGGATAATACTCATGAAGAACAATGATAAAGAGATGCTCTCGTGCGGGGCCCCACCTGCTTCGAAGGTGGAAGGGTTCGCTGAGGGCAGAGGGAGCGGGGTGGGGGGTGGGAGCTGGGGCTGGGGCCGGGGCCGGGGCCGGGGCCGGGGCCGGGGCCAGTGCCGCGGGAATGATGCTAGATTGCAACAAGGAAGAAATCAGAAAGAAGTAAAGTTTATTATTCACCTTTCACAGATTGGAAAGGGGGCCGACACTCAGAGGCAAGTATGGCCTTGAAGGGCCAAGAAATGGGTATATTTAAGGGCCTTTGGCGTAAGAGAGTTTAAGCCTGGAGGAATGTCCAGAGCTGCGGGCCTCTGATGGTCTCTGATATTGATCATAGCCACGTGAGTCTTAGATCTTGAGCCAGATATTAGCATCTCCTGCCCTCAGGTGGTGGGTTAGAGGGGAGGAGACAAGGAGAGGGGGTTTTCCGGAAAGAGACTAGTCAGATGTTTGCAATCCACAAACTCCTAGACCAGAAGGTGGTCTTGTTATTTCTATGGCTTCAGCCAGCCAAGGGGTGATCTTTGATCTTCCACTTCGACAAGGAACCTGAAAGTTTACTAGAGATTATTATGCCAAACCATGAATCCAAAGGTTGGGCTGTCAGGTTGTCCTGGTCTTGCATCTGATGGAGATTTGCTGAGGGGGTGGGGTAGACAGCCGCTTAGCCTGCAGTAGAATGTCTGAACCCTTCCTAAAACCTGCCTACTGGAAACTATCTGTCTAACCTGTGCTAGATTCAAAGTGTGTCAGGGGTAAAAGCTAAGCAAAAATGGCTATGCTGAGGCACAAAGACTACGCTAAACTAAGATAATTCTAGGTTTCTATAGGTACCTCCTTTCAGAAGGCCAGTCCAAAAGAGGGTTTCCGGGACCCTTCGAACCAGAGAAGCATGTGGGAACTACCTGGAGAGGATACTATTTAGATGTACAAAAGTTTGGATGGTCATAGAAAAACCAGGTCTGTCTCAGGTCTGTTTGGGTGTTATGTGTATTATATAATACAATTATGCGATACATTCATATTTATGATAGTATGTTATGCATAAATAATGGATTATAACTAAATACAATATGAAAGAGAAAGAAAAGACGGCAGCACTGGGGTTCTCACCACTACTGTATCCTCTGTGAAACTCTAAAAAGTACTATACTACTACTTGGGGGCGGAGGGTAGGGTGGGGGGGCAGGGGAGAGGCACTGCGTCTGTACTGAGGTTCAGAAGAAACTGGACAATTGATATCTCTCCTTGCTCCACTGCCCAGTTTTTCCCAGGTGCGTTCTAGACTGGATCCCAATACCTCACCCAACTGTTCTGGTGACGCACAGCGACAAGCTGCCCCTGGGTGACCAGGAGGGAGTCAAGCATTGTCCACAACCACTATTCCTGCCCTCCTGGGGATATGTATTCCTGTGGGCTGGACCCCTGGGTTTCTCATACTTTCTTTCATTCACAAACTCACTTAACAAGGACTTACTAAGTCTACCATGAGTCAGGCACTGGCTACAAGAAGCCACCCCGGGATGGGTAAAATAGGACCCTGGCTACCCCCTGGGAACACAGAGCACTGAGCCTTTCATTCTACTTTGAGGGGTCAGGGAGGACTTTCCAGAGAATGTCGTGTGAAAGGTGGATAAGAGTAGAAAAGACAGACAAGGGAAGGAGGCATTCCAGACAGAGGGGACACCTGCGCCCGGTCCTGGGCGTTTCCATGGCTCGGATGCGGACTTGGGGCAACAGCAGGGAGTGGCTCAGGGTCCCGGGGTTCCCCCTAAGGAAGCTTCAATGGGTAACCGCTGAAAATGAAAGCCTTAAGCATAGAGTGATATGGACAACTGCACATATTCATGGGATCGTGTGAGTGGCACCACAGAAAACAGAGAGGTGGAGAGAAGAAGCTGTGAGGTCAGAAGGCTACTGCAGTGCCCAGAAGGGCAATAATGGGGCCTTGAAATCAGGCAGCAGCAGCCAGGATAAAGAAAAGGGGTGCTGTTCAAAACAGACGTGTGAGCCCATTGACCAGATAAACAGACCTGGGGCTGGGGAAAGGGTTGCCGATGACCCCCAAGTCTCCCTCTAGTCTGGATAATGGGCGGATGGTGTTGGTGGGTCAACCAAGACCTAGAACATGGCTGGGTGGGGAAGGAAAAGATCAAGGGGAAGACACAAGTGGTGACTTAACGTGCTGCATCTGGGCTGGTTGTAGGATGTGTCTGGGATGGAGAGAAGGGTGTCACAACTCTGAATGCCGAAGGCCGCTGAAACCACGGTAATAACAACACAGATTGACTGCATACCTCGTGCACACAAGGTACCGTGCTAGACACTTTACATTCCTCTACGCTCATTTAATTCTTCTAACAACCCACAAAATAGAAACTGGGATATGCATTTTAGGGATCTGGAAACCGAGGCCAGAAAGGTCAAACAACTTCCCAAGATTACAAGGATAGTAAGAGCTAGATTATCATACTATTTGGATCATGGGCCCCTGAGCTTTTTTTGTTTTCCTCCCCCTTTGGAGCAAGGGATCCCTAGACAAAGCCTGAAGCAAGCAGGCCCCAGAAGACTATGCTGGGGTTCCCCCAGTTCCATGTACCACTGCCCTTTTTCCCGGGTTTGAGCCCTCTTAGCGGAATAACACACACTACAGGCAGGCCAGGAGTCCTGCTTTATAGAAAGGAAGGCAGAAAATAGGAAACTAAATGGCCAAGCCATCACCCTCATCTTCCTTCTAAGTGCTCCACTTTCCTCACCCACCCCCACCCAAGAGCCCATGCAGGTGTGCCGGCCTGCAAGACCCTTCCCCAACTAGGATACTGGGGAGAGGACCGGGGCTACTCAGAAACACCTGCTAGGGCAAATCTTTCCAACAATGTTATCTGAAGATGCTGGGACACCACACTGAAAACACCAAATATTAAAGCAAGCACAGTTTATCTGGGCCAGAAGAAAGCCAAGTTCACAGGGGAAAAAATGAACTGGAGTCTTGAAGACACTTCTTGCTACAGGCTGCACCACGTTGGACCCATGTCTGCCCTGCCCTTAAGGTCACTTCATTCTGAAGTTTTGGGAAGTGCTAAAAATATCAACTCAGAAAGCACTGTACTTACCAGTGGAAAAAGGGATACCTTCATCTATTTAATCAAGAGGAAATTATAGAAATCATCATAGCAAGAAGAAACTCTCTGGGGAAGCTACCTGCAAGTAAGAATAACTGAGACCGCAGTTTCACTTTACTCTAAACACACCCAACATCACTAGAACGTGGATCAGATAACCTCCATTAGGTTTTATCTTAACTTGAGTGGGGAGAAGAGCGTCTTCCCCCAAATCAGTGATTAATTACATTTCCTTCGCAGAGGGTACACTTGGGAATGTGTACAAATAAAGATCAGACATACAAAGAGCTGGAAAGAGACCTTTTGTTCTACGCTACCTTAATCGGACCCTTGGCCAAAACACCTGCCATCCACAAAAAGGGTGCAGTGATGATCAAAAATAACACCTATAAAGCTTTTCATTGACGTATCACGCTTCAAATATTCATTCATTCAATGTTCAGTCAACTGATGTGGCCAGTAAAATAATTATCAGACACTACAGCCATGGAATGTGCTAGTGAATCCTAGAACAGACTTCTAGTAGAGTCGAATCTTAGAACAGAACTTGAGAGAAAGGTCATTCCGTCTTGGTTTCTCATGTAACAGGTGGAGTCCCAGGATGTTAACTAACCCTTACAAGGTCACATCGCTGGACCACAGTTCTGGGCCTCCTGGGTCTTCTGGCCCCCAGACCACCTGAAGCGACCTGAAATAGGGGAATGAGCAGGGACCATGGGGCCTGAGAGACCAGCCTGGAATTCCAGCTCTACCACCTGGTGGGCACCACCTGGTGGGCATGTGACCTGAGCTGGAATCCCAGCTCTACCACCTCGTGGTCATGTGACCCAGGATTAAGCTTCCTCAACTCTACACAGTAACAGTAATAAACAAACCTCCAGACTTGTGAGCATTGAGATTGCATGCAGAAATCATTTGCGCATAGTGAGAAGGTAGATTTCCTGGAAAACATGACAAAGGCATCATTGTGGCTGAGGTGGCCATCTGAGCTCCCGACTGCAACTTTGAGCCAAGTGTTCCTGGCCTGGGCTGTTTATTTCTGCACGAGCAGTTTATTTCCGAACCAATGTCATAGATTATTTCATTTTGTAGTTCTTGAACTGGAAATTCTTATTCAACATCTTTTATGAGACTCACCCAAAGAAATGCCAAAACAATAATAGTAATAGGTAACACCTAGATAAATTCTACTTTTGCGCCAGACACGGTTCTAAACACTTTAAAGGCATTCAGTCCTCACAAAAGCCCTGTAAGACAGCTCAAAGGTAACTGAGTCAATAAAATTGGAGGTTTTAAAAAGATATACTTAGATTGATATTAATAAGGAAATACTGGGAAGTTTTGGATTGGATTTAAATTAAGAGCTTGAATGCTGCCCGTTCCGATTCAATTCGAGGCAAGCTTTCAATATTTCTCCCACTCTCCTGACTGCTAAAAACATCATTTTCCCTCCCCGTGTAAAACTGCTTTAAATGCTTTATTATTTTAAAAAATCAAACCTACACAAAAGCTGACAGAATATAATGTATGCCCATGTACCCATCACCCCACTTCAACAAATGACCGGTTTCAACAACCCATTGCTTTTTAATGTTTTTTTCTTATCTCTTCCCCATACTCCTTGGTGAAGACTTTGTTAACAGATGTCATGTACACACACACACACACACACACACACACACACACACACACACACACTCGCTGCGGGAAGCCTGATCCTGAACCCTCTGCGGCACAACAATTCCATTTTCTCTTTCCAAAACATCTAGCCCTCTTCCCCTAAGTCTGTTCCCGCGCATAAGGCATCATCCTACGCATTTTCAGCCCTCTGGCTGGTCTCTGTATTTGGCAAAATCCAGATGGAGAAAGTGTCCGGGGGGGCTTGAAACACCCCAGCGACGATGAGAGAAATAACGAATTCACCAGAGCAGGGCAGGGTTAAAAGGAATCTCAGAGGCACTCCCGTCCAAGTCTTCTTGGCAGGGGGGGAGACTAAGGCTCACGCCTGCAGCTCTCCAAAGCCCCAGAAACACGATCAAGAAATAAAAGCAGGGCGTGTGGACAGCGTTATTCGACTGTCCACACCTTCCGCCATCTCTGTCCATTCCTGCCACGCCTGTGAGGACCAGATCATCTTCCCACATCCCCCCAGACGGCGTTTACCCGACTCAAAGCCTTGGGTAGCACCTGCAGATTTAAAAGCCCTTCAGGGTAAAGCCAAGCCTCAGCCTTCCCCGCTTAATCAGGCGGCCGGTTGATACCCGGTGAGCACGCTGATAATATTTGCCGACCCAGACCCGCGCTCCCCAGCGCTCACAACTCTCCTCCAGCGGTCTCGCAGCCACCAGGACCCGGGTCCACCAGGATTCCGGCTTTCCTCCCTCTCTCTGCAAGGCCTGGCCGCCCATTTCTTAGGAGGACGCAGCATCCACAGCACAGGATGGGCAGTCGGGCTACCGCACCTGCCCAGCGTGACCCTGGACGCAGCGCCCCTCTCCAGGGCCTCGACGTCCCCATCTGTAAAACGGGCAGGTGGGTCCCGCCTTCGCGAGCAGCGCCGGGCTGGGCCTCGGCCTCGGCCTCGGCCTCCCCCGCGGTCCCCACGGCCCGGCCGGGTCCGCTCCCTCCGCGAGCGGCTCAGTCCCCGGCGCTCCGCATCCTCACCTCCCACTCCCAGGTTGACCTTGCGGGGGTCCGGGTCCTCCCGGAAGTCGGCAGTGAGTTTAAAGACCAGGACCGGCTCGGCCTGCGGAACCTCGGCGAAGATCGACGGGGGAGCCATAGCGAGAGAGCCGGGAAGTCCGCAGAGCCTCGCCTGGTCCGCTGGGTCTGGGCCGGCCGCGGCGACCGGAGGAGACGCTCACCTTCACCTAGCTGGCGGGGGCGGGCCCGCCGCCTCCAATGGACGAGCCGCGTCGGGAGCTGGGCAACGCGGTGGACCAATCGCGAGCCTCTGGCCGAGAAGGGGGCGGGAGGGAGAAACGGCCCTTAGCCAATCCTAGAAGAGAGTCTTATCGGAGGCCGGTAAGGATGCAACCAATGCGATTCACGCCGGCTGGGACGTGGGCGGTGCCTGGGGTTGATTGGCAGAGCGTGGCCCTATCGCGGAGGCTGTTATTCCGGGGTTGGCCCGGGCTGAGGGGAGGGGCCGAGCCGGGGGCCGGTGTCCCGGTGGCTGCCCCCTCGACCTTCCCCTGCCGGCGTCGCGGGGGAGGTGGCCGGCGGGAATCGGGAGGACGGTCTTCCTGTGCTCGCTGAGCAGGTGTCCTCGCGGCCAGGCCCGGGCTGGTGGCCAGGTGTGTGCTCGGGACGCGAGCCCTTCTCGGCCGGGACGCGCGGCCCCGGAGCCCGCGGGCGACTTTGACCCTCCGGGCCGGGTCCTCCCCCCCCCGGGAACGGTGGCTGTGCTGCCCTCCTTGGTCTCTGGCAGGGAGGTCCTACCACCAGGGGTGGGGGAAGGGTGACCACGAGCTCCTTCCTGCCGCCCTTCCGATGCGACGTTTTCTCTCCCCATTCATTACGGAGAGGACCTGGTCCTCTAGGACCTTCGGGATCTGGGCCCGGCCTCCCTCCCAGCTTTGCTGCCACGCACGCGCTTGGCCTGACCTTGCTGCTGTCAGCTGGCTGGTGCCCAGACGGCCTCTTGTCGTCGGGCTGATCCTTCCCCCAGAGCGCTCCTCCCCAGGCTCCCTCTCCACCTGTCGACCTTCCAGAGAATGTCCCCTGTCGCCTCCCTCAACCCTCACTCTGGCCCAAATCTGCTTCTCTTCCCCGTGCTTCTTCACCTTGCTGGCAGTGCCACAGTTTGAGAACATGCCCTTGCGGTTAAAAGCCCAGCTCTGGAGCCAGACTACTACCATGGGTTAGATTCTGGCAGCCGCCTGCTCACTTGGGCAGGAGTAGGCAAGTTATTTGACCTTTCTGTTCCTACTCTGTAAAGCGGAGACAGTAGCATTCTCCTCGAGGTTGTTGTGGGGATGATGTGAGTTAATACACCTAAAGCGTCTAGGGGCATACAGTGCGCTCTCCCTAAAAGTTGGCTACTGCCATAATTGTGTACCTGCCACACCCCTTGTAGAGGGTGAGCTGCTTTGGGAAAGAATATGACCCTCTCAACGTCCAGTTCAGTTTCTTGCCCTTACTAAGCATTTAGCAAATGGTGGGACAAGGAGTCAATTCTTCTGGTGTTTCAGAAGAAAGCAGTTCCACAGCCTCTGTTCATCGGCTAATAGGACAAATTGCGAAATGAATTGTCCACTCGAAGTAATACAAGCCAGAGAACTTTGTGCAACACCTCTCAGCCTTTCATACCATCTGCTGCTTTTCAGAAACGTTACCTCTGCTTTTAAAGATAACTGCCCTAGTGTTCTACTAACAGCTCTTTCTCTAAGTGTTGCAGGTTCAACACTGAAGGTCAAATGACAATGAACTTTTGGGGCTTCAGAAGCAGAGGCAGAGTGCATCTGTTGAGAGGTGTGTGGTACGGCCAAGCCCTCCTAGAATTTGATCCGAAAGTGTGATCTTCATCGCGTTGGCCAACAATATCATGGTCACTCTCTACGTCATTCTCGGGAAAACCACCCTCAGTTACCCAAACACTATTGGCTAAGACCAAACAAATATTTATTGATAACCTAAGTAGCTCTGTAAGCAAGCCACTGCTGATTGGGACAAAGAAAGTGTCCCATGCTGTTTTTCGTAATGCCCCCCCCCCACAGTATCTGTCCTGAATTTTAGAAAAAGCAGTTACTAGGGTGGAGAGGGAAGCCTGCGTATTAGGTAGGATCCAAGTTGCAAGCTGCTTTCCTAGGGAACGTGAGGTTCTTGGAGATTGAGTTCCACACCCTTCTTGAGCCCTGTAGGCTGCCCCTCTAAGTAAAATGCCAGTCTTGAAATAAACAAAATGCTTCCCAGGTCATCGCTAATTTTAACACTTTAACTTAGAATGGACTCAACCCTGCCTCCCTGCTGAATGGATAATTCCAGCAAAAGACTCTTGAAAGCTGAACGCTGCCCAGAAAAGCAGGCAGCCAACTAACGTGAGTGCCCAGGAAAAGGTCAGTAAGGGTCAGGGAGAAAGGGGCTGGCATTCTCACTGTCCCCTGACTTGCTAGTGACCCTCTAATCAAGTGTCCTCCCTAGCATCTACCTTCTGCCTCCCCCCACCCCACTCTTCTCCAAAAGAACTGGAAAAGAGGAACTGGAGACCCCCACGGCAACAGTGTGATCTAGAATGAATTCCTTGAGAATATACTCTTGGAAATCTGAAGCCTCCAGGCCTGGACAGTGCTGTCCCATAGCGAAAGAGGCAGGACAGGCAAGGCCTTGGTCACCACATGGGCGTCCAAGCAAATGTACACCTGTTCATTTTACTCAATCTTGCCCAAGCATATCCCGGTCTAAACTTAGGAGCAAGTCAGGGATGGAAGAAATTTATCACCCTTTGCGATCAAGCCCAAAGTGCTTTGGAATGGTATATTTGGGTGCGTGCAGTCGCAGAGGTTGTGTGCTGAACAAATGATTCGTTAAAAGTCAAAACCAGCTGGGTGCAGTGGCTCACGCCTGTAATCCTGGCACTTTGGGAGGTGGAGACTAGAGGATTGCCTGAGCCTAAGGGTTTGAGACCAGCCTGGTCAACATGGCGAGACCTCGTCTCTACAATAAATCAAAAAAATTAGCTGGGCGTGGTGGCACGTGCCTGTGGTTCCAGCTACTTAGAAGGCTGAGGCGGAAGGATCCCCTGAGTCCAGCAGGTCGCGGCTGAGGTGGTCATGAGCTTGCCACTGCACTCCAGCCTGGGCAACAGAGTGAGACTCCGAATCAAAAAATAAATAAATAAAAACCAAACCGAGCGCTGCAGGCGATCCCTGGAGTGGGCCAGAGCGTGGGGAGGAGGTGCTGGAGACTCTGAGGAAGCAGAGGTTGGCCAAGCTGCAGGCCAAGCTCAGGAATGCTGGCAATGCAGCCCAGCAGGAAGCAAGGCACAGGGAAGCAGAGATGGGACACAGTATCTTAGCCCACGTGCTGGATCGGTCAGCCTGGGCCAGATTAAGTAACTTAGCACCTGTAGAGCCTGGAAAAACTGAAGCAGTAGAGAAGTACTTCACACAGATGGTAAGATATGGACAACTAAGTGGGAGGGTATCTGAACCAGGTTTAATAGACACCCTTGAAAAAGTAGGCCGGGCTCGGTGGCTTAGCCTGTCATCCCAGCACTTTGGAGGCCGAGGCAAGTGGATTGCCTGAGCCCATGGGTTGGAGACCAGTTCGGGCAACTTGGCGAGACCTCATCTCTACAATAAAAAAAAAAAATTAGCCGGGTGTGGTAGTGCACACCTGTAGTTTTGGCTACTTGGAAGGCTAAGAGGGAAAGATTGCCAGAGCCCAGCGGTCGAGGCTGGGGTGGTCGTGAGCACGCCACTGCTCTCCAGCCTGGGTGATGAGTGAGTCTCCAACTCAAAAATAAAGAAAAGAAGAAAAAAGAAAAAGTAAGCCAACCAACAGAAAAGAAAACAGCAGTTAAATTCAACAGAAGAAAAGTATGAACTGATGAAGAGGATGATTATTGAACTAAAAATGTTTAGCGACTGGAACTTAATGGTACAATTCTAGCACAGAAGTTAAGATCTGATTAAATGCTTACCAAAAGAAAAAAAAATCAATGTGTTATGCAAAACAAACAAACAAAAAATACCCCGAAACCAGCCTGGGCATGGTGGTTCATACCTGGAATCCCAGCATTTTGAGAGGCCAAAGTAGAAGGATCCCGTTGAGGCCAGGAATTTGAGATCAGCCTGAGCAACATATCGAGATTCCTGTCTCTACCAAAAATTTTTAAAAATTAGCCTGGCACAGAGGCATATGCCAGTAGTCCCAGCTACCTGGGAGGCTGAGGTGGGAGGATTGCCTGAGCCCAGGAAGGCAAGGCTTTAGGGAGCCATGGTGGTGCCACTGCACTCCAGCCTGGGCGACAGAGAGAGACCGTGTCTGTAAAAACAAAAGCAAAAACAGCACAAGGAGATCTGTCAAGAGTGGAGAGTGTGACCAAACAGCCCACGAGCATCGAGCTGGGAGGGGCGCTGTCCTCCCACAGTGATAAGTTCACTCTTGCTGAGGAAAGGGTTCTCTATCAGCCTCCCTCCCTGGCTGCAGCATGTCTGGGGAGCATCTTACCTCCTTGCTTTCCTCTCCTCTTTCTCTACCCCCCTCCTTCATGTATAGCTCCTCCCCCAGCCTGCACATGAGAATTGGATCCATGGAGGGTATCTTTCTGCTTCCTACCTCACAGAAGGGCATGTCCAGTGAGACCCAGAGGGACCGGTCTCAAGTTCCTAAACTGGACACCCACATGGGCAAAACTTTATTTAAAGCTGCTGAGACCTTTGCATAACAGATATATTCAGAGGACTGAAAACTACTCATGGTTTTATCTACTTGTTGACTAGAATCAGGTTCCATGGCACCGTTTAGAAACTGTTGTGCTATATAGTGTTTGCATGTTACTTAAGAAGCAGTACAGCATAGTGGTTAAAGCATGGCCTCTGGAAATAGATTTTCTCTGCATGACTCAGTTTCCTCATCTGCCACAGGGGACGTAATACTTCACGGGCTTAGTGTGAGGATTAAACGATTTCATGTAAAACTGTGAATTACTTAGTAAGTATTCAACAAGTATTAACTGGCATCATGTCACCACCAACATCATCCTCACAGATGTTGCTTACACGAATTTGCCTTTGAGATTTGCTTAGTTTTTTCGTTGACGAAATAGCAGCATAGTAGAATAATACACTGGCTTCAACCTGGAACCAAATTCTAGCTTTGGTATTTACTAGTTTTGAAATTTTGAGTAAATTACTGTGAGTTTTTATATTCTTATCTGTAAATTGTAAAAAAATAATTTTTCTTAGTCTATGTGTACACACACATTTAACACAGTTGTAGAAATTGCTATTATTACTGTCACAGAAATTGCACCTTAGTCCCCGGGTAGTTGTGGGGTCAGGGTTAGGCTAATTCTCCTTGAAGTCTGTCTGATTTGGCCTCTTGCAGACACACACTCTGAAAAAAAAAAATTTAATGGAAAAGAAAGCAGAGAACACCGTTTTTAAAATTTTTGGAGCCCTCCAAGAAGTCTTTGTAGTGATCTGTAAAATCTCAAGGCAATTTAAAGGTAACAAGACAACATATTAAGTAATTTATTAAAATATAAGTATGTTAGTAATAACCCTTTGTATATGATCTTTTTTCTGAAGAATAGAAAGTGTTTAAGAAACATGACTTGGACCAGGTGCAGTGGCTCATGCCTATAATCCCAGCATTTTGGGAGGCCTGAGCCCACGGACTCGAGACCAGCTAGGCAACTTGGCAGGACCTCATCTCTACAATAAATCAAGAAAAATTAGCCGGGTGTGGTGGCACATGCCTGTAGTTCCCAGTTTCTTGGAAGGCTGAGGCAGAAGGATTGCTGGAGCCCAGCAAGTTGAGGCTGCGGTGGTCATGAGCGTGCCAGGGCACTCCAGCCTGGGCAGTAGAGTGAGACTCCAACTCAAAAAAAAAAAAAAAAGGAAGAAAGAAAGAAAGAAACACGACTCCCTCAGCATCCTGGGGCAACTGTCTCCTCTAGTCACATCAACATGGAGAAGGAAACAGAAAACGGATTACCTAACAAGAAGCAGATGAAGGTACTCCCAGCGACAGGAGACCTGGAGGCCACAGATCTGAAGTCAGAAGAACCGCCCCTTTCCCGTCCCTGTTCTCCCTGAAAGCGTCACAAATAGCATCTCTCACCTGCAGAGCCACGTCTTAAGCTTTTTTCTCCCAAGTTGTCATGATGTCATGTTGCTTGGCTCATGTCCTAAAATCCTACACTTTGGTACAAGATGAAGGTAGATTAAGAGATAACGAAGGAAGCAAACTCAATGTGTTTTCTATATTTTTCGGGGGGGTGGGGTGGGAGAGGGGTCAGGCTCTCACTCTGTCACCCAGGCTGGACTCAGGGGCACGATCACGGCTCCCCATGGCCTCGACCTCCTGGGCTCCACCATGCCCAGCTAATTTTTTAATTTTTGTACTGACGAAGTCTTGCTATGTTGCCCGAGCTGGTCTCAAACTCCTGGGTTCAAGCAATCCTCCCGCCTCAGCCTCTCAAAGTGCTGGAATTACAGGCATGAGCTACCACACCTGCCGCAAGAACACTCTTTTTTTTTTTTGAGTTGGAGTCTCACTCTGTCGCCCAGACTGGAGTGCAGTGGCCGCTCCCGGCCACCGCAGCCTCGACCTGCTGGGCTCCGGCGATCCTTCCCCTCAGCCTTCCAAGTAGTCGGAATTACAGGCATGCGCTACCACGCCTGGCTGACTTTTTGATTTATTGTAGAGATGAGGTCTCGCTGCCCAGGCGGATCTTGAACCCGCGGGCCCAGGCAATCCACTCACCTCGGCCTCCCAAAGGTGCGGGATTACAGGCTGAGCCACCGAGCCCGGCTTGGAACACACTTTCTACTAAACGACTCCTGACGGGTTAGCTTAAAACAGTGTAATGGATTGTGGTAATCTATTAGGCCTTGCCGTCCGGGATATGAAGTGTATTAACAGCAAGTCCACGTGAACAGCAGAGGGCAGCATGGCCCTTCTTTTGCAAAATGTTGTACTCAGGAAGGAAAGAAAAGCAAATCTCCCGGCTGCTTTGTCTTGTGTGTTTACTTTCACCAAACATATATACTTTCTAATTAGTATTTTTCCTATTCTTTAGGTGATCACGAGGAAGAATGTCACAGCTGTATTACCTAGAAGTGGTGGCCCAGGTAACTGGGGAAAAACAGAAGGTTGGAGGACCCCCGGGCTCAGGATATGGGTTCTGTCTGACAAAGATAAACAGTAGCTTGACCCTGGGTAATCAGATAGGGTTATTGTATGAACAGACCTAATGCCCCTGTGCTTTCTGGATAGAAGTCAATCTGCTGAAATGGCAGGATGTGGTTTTGAAAATGTGTGTAGCTCGTAGGGTCTGAGCCCTGGTAACTGCTCCTAAATTCTTTTTCACTGCCCTTATTCCGTTGTATTTTCGTTCCTCTCTCTCTTACCTGAGCCCAGGCCAGAACAACCTCAACTATAGCCCATGAATTTTGAATTTAAAAACTGCCGCCAGACACAGTGGATGAGGGATGTGCTCGTGGAATCGCAGAACCCAGGCCTTGAATGCACGTCTTCCCTCTCGCACAGCCTGATTTGAGTTTCCCATCCAGCAAACAGCAAGAAAAATAATCTCTTACTTTGCAATAAAAGTCACTTGATGCTCTTTGGCAGGATGACAGAGAGGAAAGAGTAATTCTAATTTTGGCAAATTTATAACCATAGTATTCCTAGCACATCTGGATTCTGATCTAACCCTCAAAACTTTTTTGACAGAAAATCTTTAATGCCAGTTTCACTAAATCCCACCAGGAATGAGAGCTACAAAAGGACACTCAGACTAGTTCCCTGCTCTGCCTTGTGGACTTGGGCACATTATAAACTCCGAGCTTTTGTCTCTTCATCTGTTAAAAGGAGATAATATCTCCTGGATTTATTAAAAGGATCAATTTAGAAAATATATGTCAAAATACTTGGAATGCCACTTAAGTACCTAATAGATATTTCCGTCACTGTAGCCCAGAGTGATTCCTGCCTGCAGGACTCTATGTCTCTTCTTCTCATTTGATATCAATGTGCAGCCCCAGATTGTTGGTTAGTTTTCACTGCACTTACTTTTTTCTCCCAGCTCAATTGCCAGTTAGTTTCTTGAGAACTGAAGCCATCAGTTACTCTTCCTGGTCTCTTCCACAGAAACGAGGTACTTAGGGATGCAAATATTTAATTAAGGACATCAACTACAATGCAGAATTAACTCTTTTTTTATTGTGGTAAAAATTATTAAGATTTAAAACTGTACATTTTAAAATGATGTGTTTTAAAATTGTAAAAATTCAATTTTTTAAAAACTTAAATTTTATTAAAATTATGGTAAAAAAATATATATATATCACATAATATTTACCATCTTAACCATTTGTGAGTGTCCAGCATAGTGGTGATAATTGTATGCACGCTGTCAGGCACACAGATCTAGAATTTTTTCATCCAGATTGATTCTTAATAAGTATCTTCTATATCACTAGTATCTGGCTTCCAAGGAGCATGTTTATTGACTGGGCAAAACAAGAAAATAATACAGGCATTTCACTGTGTGGCAAGGGGTGTGTGGAACAAGGTAATCAAAAGCAGGAAACTATCAAGTCAAAAGTATAAACTTAGCCGGGCTCGGTGGCTCAGCCTGTCATCCCGCGCCTTTGGGAGGCTGAGGTGAGTGAATTGCCTGAGCCCACGGGTTCGAGACCCGCCTGGGCAGGCGAGACCTCATCTCTACAATAAATCAAAAAATTAGCCGGACGTGGTAGCGCACGCCTGTAATTCCGGGTACTCGGAAGGCTGAGGCGGAAGGTTCGCCGGAGCCCAGCAGGTCGAGGCTGCGGTGGCCGGGAGTGGCCACTGCACTCCGGTCTGGGCGACAGAGTGAGACTCCGACTCAAAA